CTGTGCCTGGCCCTGTCCTGGGTGCTGGGAGGAATTAAGTGACCACACATAGGAAAGTCCCTGCCCTCCAGGAGCCTCCTCTCCGGCTGGGGGAGGAACAGTAAACAAACAAATGCTAGTTTCTTAGGTGACTCGGGAACAGAGCAGGGTGAGGGAGAGCAGGCGTCTTGGAGGTTCAACCTGAACCTGCCATGCTGGGCTGGCATTCGAGCCATAGGTTGAAGGAGGGGAGGGCGCGAGCTCTGGGGACATGGGGCAGTGCTCAGCAGTGTAGACTTCAGCCAGAAAACTGTTCGGGATGTGACTTCGTGATGAGACTTGCCTGCGTGAATGAGGGAGACATTGGGGTGGGGGCTGGGGCTGCAGTGGGAGCTGCAGAGGAGTGGCTGGAAGGGCACTGACCGCGAGCCTCTGAAACCAGTCCCTGAGCTGCTTGGATAGCGTGAAGGAGCCCATGCGTCCACCATCCTCTCCCCTTTAGCACGTCCTTAGAAACACGAGGTGTTCTGCCCTTCCCCAAACCTGAGGGCAGCCCTGCTCCCCAGTCAAAGTCCGGCTTGGTTTCAGGTCTGTGGCCCTTCTCGCACCAACCCTGGCGTCATGATCGACGACCTCCTGACACCATGCTCACCGGGAGATCCCGGGGCCATGGAGATGACGTGGATGGATGTCCCTGGTGACAAACTCTTAGAGCCTGTGGTTTGCATGGTAAGTGCCCAGCTGAGGCCGCACAGAGCCCTGCAACTGGAAACTTGGGTCAGAGTGGAAATGAGCCGCTCCGCCGTGTGCTGGGCTGCTGCGGCTGCTGCACAGAAGCCTCTGTGGCTCCGGGTGGTGAGGGCCCCTGCGGCGTTAGCATTTTATGATCTTCAGCAAGAAAAGTCAGGCCCCAGTCATGGACTCGGCCCGGGGGTTTGGCTTCCTTGGTCCACAGAAGGGACGGGTAAAAGTCCATGGGCACAGTCGGGTGCACTTTGCAAGGCGGCTCCCAACCCAGTAGCCGGGGCCTCTTCCTCTCCTAGTCCTGCTGATTGCAGGGCTCTGCCAGGGGTGGTGTGGGGCCCACTTCAGACACCTGCTACGGGAGTTAGTGTGGTGAAGAGAGCAGAGGCCCTCGAGCCCTCAGGCTGCAAACGCAGCTGCCCCAGGGGGAAGCGGGTGCTGCGTGGGCAGACTCGGGAGGCAGCTGTGTGCGGGGTGGGGGAGGTGACCTGGAAGGCAGGCTTCTACGTAGATGGCAGGGCCGGGGGAGGGGAGTCCGAGGCCCCAGAGCCTCGCTGCGTCTCAGCCCCTGCTCTGGTCTTTGCAGTCGGACATGCTCCGCTCTTTGGCCACCACTCGGCCCACGGTGAACGCAGATGACCTCCTGAAAGTGAAGAAATTCTCAGAGGACTTCGGCCAGGAGAGCTAAAAGCTGCTTCATTAGGGTGATGCAGGTGGGAGATCGGCTGGGGCACATCCATGGTTCTCTCTGCGGCAGTGGCCGGGCAGGGCTCTGGGCTCGTCCTAAAGTCACTACAGCATCCCCTCTGCTGGCGTGCGTCCGGGAGCAGGAAGGAAGGGCCTCGCAGGGCCTGGCGGCCAGAGACGCTCCGCCGCGCCGCCCGTGTGCACACGGTGGACTCCGGCTCTCCCCTCTCCCCTCCTGGACGCTCACCAGTTCTCCTGCTCAGCCTGCCCACGCATCGTCTTTTCCTTTAACATTTTTTTGTTCCCCTAAATTAATGCTGCTTGGATTTCCGACTTGTTTATAAATAAAATCACCTGGACACAACAAGGAGTGGGAGCAGCTGAGCTGTGGGTGGCACAGCAGAGCCCCCAGACGGCTGCCAGGCCCCGCTGCCTCTGCTCCTCTGATGCCCAAGTTTGCCTCCTTGAAAACCCACTGGCTGAAGCCCCTGGATCCCCAGGCCAAGCTTTGCCTGCAAAGACTAAGAACAGCCATTCCCATCCACCCCATTTGCATCCGGGCCCCGTGTCCTCCTCGCAGCAGGAGGAGATGGCTTCTGTGAGCACAAAGCTGGCGCGGTCGGTCAGAGGCAGGTGGTGGGCGGTCTGCACGGCTGCCTTTCCTCTGGGTGTGAGAACGCTGAGCACGGCCACTGCCCTGCCCCGGGTCCCTCTCCTGGAAATGGTCTAATAAACCTCTTCCCTTCTTGAGTAACTGCAGAGACTTATCTTTGGCCCTTGCCCCTCTGGTTTTCTCCTCCTCCTGCCCCCTCCCCGCCTGCAGCAGAAGCAGGAATGCTCGCGAGCTGCCACCCCTGCAGGCCTGTTCTGCATGCAGGTGGGCAAGGACCCCTCCCAGGCCTCAGAAGGCCGCATGGAGTGCTTAGGGAACCCGGGCAGCTCTTCCTGCGGTCCTGCCTCCGGCAGAGGAGGCAGCCCGGAAATGCCAAGTGCCAGGGAGCAGAAGCTGAGGAGGTTGCTGGCACAGACACAGCCAGTAACACCGTGTCACACAGAAAAGGCCTAGGTAGGAAGCAGGCAGCCCGCGGCAGGGCTTGTTCTAGCCCACCCCCACGTTACCTGCGGCATCAGCAGGCCTCCAGGTGGCAGTTTTTATAAAAGAGTTATTTATTTATTTGAAAGGCAGAGTTAGAGGGCTTCTTTCACCCACTGGTTCACCCCCAAATGGCTGCAATGGCCAGAACTGGGTTGATTTGAAGCCAGGAGCTTCTCCCCGGTCTCCCACATGGGCACAGGGGCCCAAGCACTTGGGCCATCCTCTGCTGCTTTCCCAGGTCGATGGCAGGGAGCTGGGTCAGAGGTGGAGCAGCAGGGACTTGAACCAGTGCCCATATGGGATGCTGGCATGCAGGTGGTGGCTTTATCTACTACACAGCACCGGCCCCATCCACGGGACATTTATGTAGCAGTGTGCCTGGGCTCTTTGTCACTTGGGAGTTCCTGTGTCACTGGTTATCTGCCCCCGTCCCCCAGTCCCCGCTTGTGAAGGCTAGAACACAGGTCAGGGCAGGAAAGTGCCCCTCTGCAGCCTCAGTGAGCTAGTCAGGACTTTCCAGGCTGCTGCGTTTACTCGTGTCAGGAGGCCCTTGTTCCTTTTTTCACCTGCTTCCTCATTTCTGCTGCCTAAACACCCTGACAAGCTACGGGGGTGAACGGGGTCTGTAGGGCAGCTTGGGTCACAGCTGTCAAACACCTGCCTTTCTGTGCCCTCCTCAGCGGCAGGAACCACTGCTCACAGTGGCTAACCTGTGGTGATGGCTGCCTGGGGTGGACGATTTCTTTACTGGAACTGCAAGGAGTCAGTGCCACTGCCCTGTGACCCGAGGGCGCCAGCGTGTCGGGCTGCCCCATGAGGGGAAGCCACTGCGTTCTCACTTGCAGAAAGTGAGTTTCCAGTAGACAGGAGGGCTCTCTAGACTTTCCCAGAAGCTAGGTCTGACCTCAGGGCAGGGCGTGGTCGGATGCCTGTGCCAAGTCTGACTGCCGCCAGTGGGGACGGGGGTGCTCCCCAGAGAAAGCCGGGGGATGGGGGAGTCTTTCCTAGGTACACTTAATGAACGGCTGTTTAAAACCCCTTTTTTCTAAACAACTCACTGGACTTCCTCCTACCGGCTTGCTTTGATTTTCAAGACTGGGGGGCGAAAGCACCTGCTTCCCAATACTCAACATAAATGAGCAGTCACCCAGAAGGCCGAGTCACTTCACCTCGGATCAAGTCCTGACGTTTCCCCTAAGCTACCCTGGGCAGTGTGATCGGGAAGGAAGCTCCTGTCCTGCTTTCTGGGTCTGTCCTGACTGTGCAGGAAGGGGCTCACTGGTCCCTCCCAGCGAGCAGCCGCCCTCAGCCCTGCCCCACGGCCTGCACCCAAAGACCGAGCCAGGCAGCAGCTGCCCAGGACGCTGGACGCACAGTCCTCCCCAGGTCTGGAAGTGAAGACCTAAACTGCAGAACCTGTTCAGGTGTGTGGGTACTGGAAGCACAGTCCTCCCAAGTCTGTGGAAGTGAAGACCTAACTGCAGAACCTGTTCAGGTGTGTGGGTACTGGAAGCACAGTCCTCCCCAAGTCTGTGGAAGTGAAGACCTAACTGCAGAACCTGTTCAGGTACGTGGGTACTGGAAGCACAGTCCTCCCAAGTCTGTGGAAGTTAAGACCTAACTCAACAGAACCTGTTCAGGTGCGTGGGTACTGGAAGCACAGTCCTCCCCAAGTCTGTGGAAGTGAAGACCTAACTGCAGAACCTGTTCAGGTATGTGGGTACTGGAAGCACAGTCCTCCCCAAGTCTGTGGAAGTTAAGACCTAACTGCAGAACCTGTTCAGGTGTGTGGGTACTGGAAGCACAGTCCTCCCAAGTCTGTGGAAGTGAAGACCTAACTCAACAGAACCTGTTCAGGTGCGTGGGTACTGGAAGCACAGTCCTCCCCAAGTCTGTGGAAGTTAAGACCTAACTGCAGAACCTGTTCAGGTGTGTGGGTACTGGAAGCACAGTCCTCCCAAGTCTGGAAGTTAAGACCTAACTCTGCAGAACCTGTTCAGGTGCGTGGGTACTGGAAGCACAGTCCTCCCCAAGTCTGTGGAAGTGAAGACCTAACTGCAGAACCTGTTCGGGTATGTGGGTACTGGAAGCACAGTCCTCCCAAGTCTGTGGAAGTGAAGACCTAACTCAACAGAACCTGTTCAGGTGCGTGGGTACTGGAAGCACAGTCCTCCCAAGTCTGGAAGTTAAGACCTAACTCTGCAGAACCTGTTCAGGTGCGTGGGTACTGGAAGCACAGTCCTCCCCAAGTCTGTGGAAGTTAAGACCTAACTGCAGAACCTGTTCAGGTGTGTGGGTACTGGAAGCACAGTCCTCCCAAGTCTGGAAGTTAAGACCTAACTCTGCAGAACCTGTTCAGGTGCGTGGGCACCTACTTCCATAAATGCTGCCCTTCACACCTCCTTGCGCTGGGAACCCTCTGCCTGGGTGTCACTTCCACAAGCAAGCGTGCCGAGGGCACACACACAGCCCTTTGTAAAAAGAACACCGTGCAGATGATCAACTCCATGTTTTCAGAACAGCTTTCAGGAGTTTGGGGACGACGTTAGTATCAGATCTTGGCTTTGGGAGCGGATTATACAGCCCTTACGAAACCACGTCTGAGGGGTTATTTACTTGTCACCCTCTCTCCATACAAAATCCTCAGAAATGCCCACTCCCGGGGTGGGGGTGCAGTTGCTTCCCAAGTTGTGGCGCTATTTTGTCCACAGGTGATTTCTGGGCAAACGTTTCTAACCTCCTCCACCTCAGGGTGGCTCGCTCTGGCAGTCCACTGTCTTCTGGGATTCCAGCCAATGCCAAGGTGAAGCCAGGTACCCTGTGTCCAGCTCCCAGTCCGTGTTGGTGTTCAGGCCCCCGAGTCGGGCAGGAAAGCTTCAGTCATTTACCTCCATCCAGTGGACGTTTGTAAACGACCTGCTGTCCATCTTGTCAATGAACAGGCAGCCCTGCAAGTGGTCCATCTCGTGCTGAATGATGCGGGCCGTCCATCCGCTCGCTGGCCACACCACCTGCTCACCTCTCGGGTCCAGCCCTGCAAAGGAAGTTCCGGCGGGGGTGAGGGGAGGCCACCATTCGCAGCCGCCTTTCCCTACTGCTGTTGGAAGAGGTACCGAGCAAGGGAACCAAGGCGCGGGCACTGGGGGGGACAGGGTCAAGGTGCTGCCTGGGACACCCGCATCCCTTATCAAGGGTGCCTGGGACTGAGTCCTGTTATTCTGCTTCTGACTCGGCTCCCTGATAAGCCCTCGGAGGTGGCAGATGCTGGCTCAAGTACTTGAGTTTCAGCCACCAAGTGGGAAATCCAGTTGGAATGCCTGGCTCCTGGCTTCAGCCTGGCACAGGTCTGGGTACTGCACACATTTGGGGAGTGAGCCAGTGGATGGAAGGCCTCTGTCGCTGTGCCTCTTAAAGGGAGGGGGGCATAGCAGCCTCCACGCTGAAAACAACTCTGCCCATCACCAGGTATTTAACCTGGTTCCCCACTCTTTTATGTTCACCCAAATCTTGACGGTGTTATTATTTTTTTAAATTTATTTTAAAAGGCAGAGTTACAGAGGGACAGAGATCTTCGATCCACTGGTTCACTCCCCAAATGGCCGCAACAGCCAGGGCTGGGCCAGGCCAAAGCCAGGAATCTGCAACTCAAGCCAGGTCTTGCACACGGGCGCAGGGGCCCAGGCACTCGGGCCATCCGCGGGCAGCTGGGTCGGAGGTGGAGCCTCCGTGGGATGCCAGCGCGACCGGCGGCCGGCACACGCCCTACGCTGTTCGCGGGGCAAAGAGCAGCCGTCTTCCTCCCGACCTCCCAGCGCTGTAAGCTGCTGCCCAGGGCGGCGTCTCAGCGCGGCACTGCCTGCGTGCCTCCCGGGCCCAGGAGGCTGGCTTAGCGCAGCAACCTCGCTGACCGGGCAGAGCCCCCTCCGCGCGGCCCGCTCTCAGCCACAGCCCCTCCACCCCGGGCCGCGCCGCCGCCCCCACCGGCCGCACCTGAGATCTGCACGGCCTGGAAGCGCGGCACGCAGGCCAGGAAGCCGGCCACGCTCTCGCAGCCCTCGGGAAAGGTGACCAGGCGGCTGTCCAGCACGCGCAGGCTGGGGTTCACCAGCACGCGCAGCGGGAAGGGCTCCATCTGGCGGAGCTCGTGAGTCGTGCATGAGCGGAATATGCTTAGAGAAACTCGAGCGCCAGCACCTGAAGCGGCCCCCGAAACTTGCGGGCCGCCCAGGGCCAACGCAGAGCGGACCTGTTTTCTTGTGAGTAGTCGGTGCAATCAACCGTTGCAGCTCGGGCGCCGCCAGCTGCGCCGGCTCCACCGGGGCCGCCACGGCCCGCAGCACGGGGTCCCCGACCTGGCACACGTGCGAGTACGGCGGCTCGGGCGGCCCCCGCACCAGCCGCCTCACGTAGCGCCAGTAGGAGCGCCGGCGCGCCGGGCCCTCCGCGCCGTCCCGGGCGGCGGAGCTGCAGGCCCGGGCGCCGCCGGCCCCCGCCGCCTCGCCCCACAGCGGGGCCGGCCCGGCACAGCGGCGCCCCCGGAGCTGCCCGAGCAGCAGCGGCAGCCCGCCGCACAGCCGGCCCATGGCGCCCGCCCGGGAAGCCCCGCCCCGCCCCGCCCCGCCCCCGAAGCCGCCGGGGACGCCGGGAAGCGCAGTTCCCGCGCCTCCGGGCAGCGGCGTCGCGAGAAAGCGGCAGGCGGTGGGCGCCCACGAGCTTTATTGTTCGCGCCACCCGCGGACAGGAGAAAGCCGGGCGCCCCCTGAACCCGCCTCCCCGCGTGCTCGCGCGCGAGAGGCCGCCTCGGCGCCCGGGGCCGGCTACGTGCTCTCGGGAGGCGGCTCCGCCGGCTCCGCAGACAGCGCCTCCTCCCGGCCGCCCTCGGGGGGCGCCGAGGGGCCAGGCTCGGCCGCCGGCTCCTTTCCGTCCAGGGAGAAGACCATCTCTCTCTTGGGCAGGATGAAGGCGAGGGGCTCCTGGATGGCGCTGACGTCCACGTGCCCAAGGTCCCCGTACTTGGAGAGCTGAGTGGGTGGAATGCCTGCCGCAGACGGTAAGGAGAGCGAAATGGAAAATGAGTTACACTGAAATTCAGTCTAGAGATCACAGGAAGAAAATAAAAGGGAGGGGCAGACACAGTCATCCTGTTGCAGACTAAAGCGAGACCAGGAAGGAGGCGGGCAGCCCCGCACAGGGCGCGAGCCCCGGCCTTCCTGTGGGGGCCCAATGCGCGGCGGCCACCCTGGGCCCTCTGCCCCCTAGCCCGCTGCCTCGCCCACCCTCACTCCCACCGCAGGGGCCGCGGGACGTGACAGCAGGTCGGGGAAAACGAGTTAAATCCCTCCTCTGCGTACTTCGTGTAAAGCCATCACGTGGGGCTGCTCGGTGGCCGGCGTCGCCAGGTGGATCACGTCGTTCGCAAGGTGCATTTCCAGCAAAGCCGTGCAAAGAAACGCTGCCTCCCTCCCCTTACCTAAAGTCTGCGCTAGCTGGGCCGGCGGGAAGAGGACCTGGAGGCAGCGATTGAGGTAGGGAACCAGGTCCTCCAGGAAGGCAGTGCAGAACTGGACGAAGAGCTCGCGCTCGCCGCTGCTGAAGGCGGCCTCCTCGGCGCGGTGGAAGGCCAGGATCGTCTTGGTGACCTAGGAGACAGGGCGCCGGCGTCACGCGGGACCCTCGCTTTGCGTCACAGTCGCTCCCAACATCGTTATACTGTGCTGTTTAAAGATGAAGCAAAGTGTGCGAGGTTTCTGCAGGGGTAAGGCCTCGGGGGTCCACAAAGGGCAGCCAGCTGACGTCACAGCGAGGTGGCACACAGGGTGAGGAACACAGGCTCTGGTGTGGGATTCCTGTGTTCAGGTCTCAGCTGCAGATTTGGTTCTGTGACTTCCACCTGGTTGCTTAAGCGCTCTGTGCCTCCATGCCTCAGTTTCCTCACCTGTAAAGTAGGGCCAGTCGTAGGTCCTACCTCACGGTGCTGTGAGCATCAAGCCTTTATTTTTACATATTTGAAATGAAGAATGACACAGAGGGAGGGAGGGAGGGAGGGAGAGAAAGAGGAGAGATCGAGATCTTTCATCTGCTGGTTCACTTCCAATGCCTGCCACAGCCAGGGTCGGGCCCAGCCAAAGCCAGGAGCCTAGAACTCCATTTGGGTCTCCCAAATGGGTGGCAGAGGTCCAGGTACTTGGGCCACCTTCCACTGCTCTCCCAGGCACTTTAGGAGGGAGCTGGATTGGAAGTGGAGCAGCCCGGCCTCCAGCCAGCGCTCGTACGGGATGCTGGCATCCAGGGCGATGGTTTAACCGCTGCCCAGGTGCCAGCCACAAGGATCAAGTCTTGACTGCTACCTGGCATGGAGCAAGCACCATGTAAGTGTTGAGTTCTACAACCTGAATTGCATTGACTCTACGATGCTTCGAATGCTTGGTTGCGTTTACAAGGGGACACCAAGATTTTATACAGCTGCACAGAAATGACGCGATGCCATTCATCGTAAGGCCTTGAGGAGCGGAGGGCCTCAGCCCTGAAGCTTCTGCACCTGCAAGAACTGAAACCGCCTACCTGAATGAGCCCGAAGGGAGGCCTGAGGCCACGCCTGGCTGACACCTCGATGGCAACGTTGTGAGAGCCTGAACACAGGGCCCCGTTCTCCTGACTCACAGAAACTGGTGGTGGAGCCGTCATACAGCACAGGACACCAGTACAATACTGAGTCCTCCTTACGTGGGAGCCGCTTCGTGGACTGTTCCAGGTCCCATAGCCAGGAGACCGATCAGAACTTCTGCCCCAGGAACCCCTTACAGCGCACTCCCTGCCTGCCTGTCCCCACAGGCCCGGGCAGCAGGAAGCCAGCAGGACGTGCTCACCTGGACAAGGGCGTCCTCCAGGGCCCGGGTCACTTCCTGCGCCAGGGCCACAGGGCAGCAGAGGCGCAGGTCATTGAAGGCGACCAGAACGTTGTTGAGGAAACACGCGAGTGGTGGGAAGTCCAGGAGCACCATCGGTGGCTGCAGCGTCCCCGGCTGAGCGGCTGGCACGGCGGCAGGCAGCTTACTGCTGCCCAGGATGGCTGGAGCCAAGACCAGGGTGTAGGAATTCATTTCATCCTGGAATTTCTCTACTGCTTCCTGAATTGCTTTCTGGAAAGTGCTGATGGCCACCCGCTGGAACACAGGAGCCAACTGGCCCCGGAAATCAGCCCCCACCCGGCTGAAGGACAGCCCGAAGTACATGCACTGGCCCAGCAGGGAGTCCAGGCGGCCGCCGACCCCCCGCGCAAGGTCCGCCTCCAACACCTGCAGGAACTGCGAGACCTTCTGCAGCACCCAGCCGTGGAAGATGGCGCTCTCATTCACTGTGCGCTCCCCTGCCGCGGGGGGCAGCAGCGGGTCCTCGTCCGAGAAGATGGCGCGGTACTGAGTGATGACATCGAACAGATGGACGCGGCAGGCCTCGATGGTTTTCGTGATATGGAAATAGGGGTCGTCATCAGGGATGGCAGTGAGGATGGAGTGGAGCCAGGCCTCTCGGGCCTGGAGGAACTTCACCCTCAGCTCAGCCTCGGTGAAGACGTCCATGCGCCGCAGGTAGCCGATGACGCGCAGGCAGGCGGGCAGCTGGATGCCGCTCCTCAGCTGCTGGATGAGCTGGCTGAGCATCAACTGCATGGACTGCCGCACCTCGCTCACGATGCCCTGCGGCACAGGGACACGCTCTGAGCCCCGCACTGCCCCGAACATGGCACACCCGCATCCCCCTGGCCTTCCTCACGTCCGAGGTCCATCTCCTACAGCTCAGACGTGCTGGTTCCCCAAGATCTGGCCGAGATCTGTAACTCTGTCCACAGAGCTTAAAACTGGCAGTGACTTCCCACTGCGTGAAGCCCCCGCTGCTCGCCATGCCTGCCCCCTTCCAGGGCCCTCTCGCTGGCACTACAATGTCTGTGTGAACACGCAACTCCTTCCCCCCTCAGCCGCCTGCTCTCTCCCAGGATCTGGGAGTGGCTGGCTCCTCATCATCTGGTTTCAGCTTAAATGTTCCCTCTCCAGAAAGGCCTGCGCTGACCCTCTGCCCGGAGGAACCCAGCCCAGTCTCCCTCTCCCGTGATCCCTTATGAGGTTTCTTCACTCGGCACTGTCTGAGCGTGTTGTTCATCTGTCAGTCACTGGGCCTCCCACTAGAATGTGAGCCTGGAGAGGCCAGGACCTTGCCAGCTGCTCTGTCCACACCACAGCCGGGTACCTAGCTCAGTGCCTGGCACACAGGGAACACACATCTTTGAATGAGCGAGTGTCTTCAGTTCCAGACTGCCTGGCTGAAACTGAGGTGACACAGGCCAGGGGTTCTGCCTAAAGGCCGGTCAGGAGCCCAGACCAGAGGGGCTGAGCGCGTCCGCACAGCGGTGTGCGTGGGCTACCTGGATGACCGGGATGGAGGAGTGCTTCCTCTCCAGGCGGCGCACATAGGCGGCGAGCTCCAGGGCCTCCTCGTAGTAGCTGTTGCGCACGCAGGTGTCCATGAGCTGAGGGATCTCCAGAATCTCCAGGATCTCCGTGTGCCGGTTCAGAGTCAGCGTGTTCATCCGCCGGCTGCAGCCGATCTCCTCGGCCTCCTGCAGGAAGTTCCTACAGACGGAGCAGAGCATGGGGCCCTCGCCTGTTTTTGTTTTATTTGAAAGGCAGAGTTAGGGAGAGACAGACGCAGAGAGAGATCTTCCATCCCCTGATTGACTCCCCAGGCGGCCACAACAGCCAGAACACATCGCCTCTTCTGGGTCTCCCGTGTGGGTGCTGGGGCCACCTTCCATTGCTTTTTCCAAGTACATTAGCAGGGAGCTGGAGTGGAAGTGGAGCAGCCGGGACTCGAACCAGCGCCCATGTGGGATGCTGGCGCTGCGGGTAGTGGCTTAACCCGTTACGCCACCCCTACACAATGCCAGTGCCCCCCTCCCCTCTGCACTTACACCTTCGCTCATTACCCAGAACTTACCGTGAACTAGGTGCCGGCTGGCTGGTTTATCTGGTTTGACCCTCATCACAGACTATGAGGTAAATACGCTTGAACTTGAGGAAATTTTTAATCCCAGAGAGGTTAAACAATTTCTCCTACATCACACAGCTATCTGAATATTTGAATCCCACGTGTGCCACTAACTAGCCGTGGTGAAGCACTCAGAGAACCTGTGTCAGAGTAGAAAAGACACAGTGAAATGTTCCTTTAGAAAGAGCTACTATTGGGGCCGGCGCTGTGGTGCAGCGGGTGAAAGCCCTGGCCTGAAGCGCCGGCATCCCATATGGACGCCGGTTCTGGTCCCGGCTGCTCCTCTTCCAGTCCAGCTCTCTGCTATGGCCTGGGAAAGCAGTAAAAGATGGCCCAAGTCCTTGGGACCCCTGCACCCGCGTGGGACACCCAGAAGAAGCTCCTGGCTCCTGGCTTCAGATCAGCGCAGCTCCAGCCATTGTGGCCAGTTGGGGAGTGAACCAGCGGATGGAAGACCTCTCTCTCTCTACCTCTCTCTGTAACTGTCTTTCAAATGAATAAAATAAATATTAAAAAAAAAAAGCAGCTGCTATGGTCCTCTCCGTAGCCCAGCGGCCACATCGCCCCGCGCCCCAGGCGCTCATGTCTCCCGAGGCCAGCGGTCAGCCTGCCTTCGCGCCCAGGTCTGCTCAGGCCTCCTTCTCTAATTGCGGGGCTCTGCAAGCCGAAGCCCGCACTGCCAACAGCTGTGCCGTCAGACACAGGAACGAAGCGAGGCTCACGGAAGGCCGGGGGCAGACCCAGGCTAACAGACTGAGGACATGGGGAGCAGGGACGGGATCAGGGGCCCGGACACACGTCTGGAGCACACGCTTCCCACCGGCTGTGTGTGTGTGTGTGTGTGTGTGTGCAGTTAACCGCGTCAGACCCGTCGGTGAGTGCTCTGCGTGGATTTCAGCCGCCCTGCGAGGGAGGGGCCAGCTCCTGGGTTCCAGTTCCGACTTGAAAACTCACTGGGTCCCTGGACCAGTCACTAACCTCTACCTCGAGGGCTGCCGCGAGGTTTAAGTGGCTTCATAAAGCGCTACGCTAAGTGTCAGCTCGCCCAGCGAAAAGCCCCGGGAGCGCCAGCCCCGCCGCACCTGCAGCTCTGCTGGAAGCCGGGCAGGCGGTCGAGCAGGCGGCCGAGCGACGCCTCCACGTCGCCAAAGAGGCGGTGGATGCGCTCCGTGCACTCGGCGCCGCGGATGAAGGTCTTGTAGTTGGCGAAGGCCAGGTCGCGCGTCTGCTGCAGCAGCTGCGCCCGCTCCTCCGCCAGGCGCTCGGGCTCGCGCCGCAGCCGCTCCAGCCCCGAGCCGCTCAACTCCCGGAGGTAGCGGCCCACGTCCGGCCGCTCCCGCCACTGGGCCTCGGGGAAGCGGTCCCGGAACAGCGACGCCAGGAGCCCTTCATCTTCCACCTCTCCGACAGCGGCAGCCGTCGATGTGGCAGTGGCTGACGACGGGACAGTCGCCGCCGTCGCCATCTTCCCGGCAGCAGCGTCACTTCACCTCCGGCCAGGGGAGGGCGCGCTGGCGCCGCTCCTAGAACCGGAAACAACAGGGGCGCGTTTCCTGTCTCTATGGTTGCTGGTCCGTCCGACTTTCCTTCCCCAGCGGTCCTCCGGGCGCCTGGGCCCTGGGTTGAGGAACGACCGGAACGGGGCAAGAGAGGCAGGTTTTGGTGTTGCCCGGGAGCCGCCGGCGACCGACTTCCGTTTCCGGTTACTGCGGCACGCGGATCTGGGGCTGCAGCCCGGCGGAAAGATGCGGCCTTTGACTGAAGAGGAGACGCGGGTCATGTTTGAGAAGATGGCCAAATAGTAGGCGCGCGCGCGGGGCGGACGAGGGAGTGTGTGCGGTGGAGAGGGACGGGGGAGACGTGAGGGCGCGCGGCCGGGACGGGCCCCCTCGAGCGGACTCTGGTCCTCTTTTTGGCCCCCAGCATCGGGGAGAACCTGCAGCTGCTCGTCGACCGGCCCGACGGCACCTACTGCTTCAGGCTGCACAACGACCGCGTGTACTACGTGAGGTGAGGCGGGGCCGGGCGGGGGCCGGGGGGCCCGGGGCGCACCAACCCCCTCCTCATCCCGGGCCTCTTCCCCTCCCCCCGTCAGTGAAAAGATCCTGAAACTGGCCGCCAACATCTCCGGGGACAAGCTGGTGTCGCTGGGGACCTGTTTCGGGAAGTTCACCAAGACCCACAAGTTCCGGTTGCACATCACGGCGCTGGACTACCTGGCGCCCTACGCCAAGGTGTGTGCGGGGTGGGGGGCGAAGCCGCGGCCGCTCTCCCACGGGGTCTCCGGCGGGGGTGCCGCGCGGCTCGGTCCCCGGGGAGGACAGCCCGTGCGGGCCCAGGTCACACAGGTGGCCCTGAGGCCCGGAGAAGCTGCCCGTGGCAGAAGCTGTTCGTGCAGAGTCGAGGGAAGAACTTGCTGGCAGACCTGCTCAGGGACTGAACCGTCTGGGGGAATGCGTGTTTCTCTCTCTCTCTCTCTCTCTCTCTCTCTCTCTCTCTCTCTCTCTTAATCCTTTTTAAGAAGCTAATTGCGGATCCTGGCCTCTGCAGGGAGAGAAGCACTGGCGTTTATGTGTCTCCTGCCTTTTCGTTCTCTCCTCTGCAGTACAAAGTGTGGATAAAGCCCGGCGCCGAGCAGTCCTTCCTGTATGGGAACCACGTTTTGAAGTCTGGTCTAGGGCGAATCACTGAGAACACTGCTCAGTACCAGGGAGTGGTGGTCTACTCCATGGCCGACATCCCTTTGGTGAGTAGAGATGATGCCACCTTTCTGCTCCCGAGAGAGGAGTTTTCGGTCTGTGCTCTCGAATGACATGAGTTCTCCTCACTTTTTGAGTTCCTCAAAGACAAGAACTGTGTTTTTTGCGTCTGTGTTCTTTCCACTCCTCAGTGTGGGCTGTTTGAGTGACTCGAGTGACTTCGTGTCTCTTCTTTTGAATCCCAGGGTTTTGGGGTGGCAGCAAAGTCTACACAAGACTGCAGGAAAGTAGACCCCATGGCCATTGTGGTATTTCATCAAGCAGACGTTGGGGAGTATGTGCGGCATGAAGAAACGCTGACTTAAAAAGCCTTCGCCAGGACAGCCGGCCCTGAGAAGGGTCTAGTTTTGTTCCTTTGTGTGTGGTCTTTGTGTGAAGCACCGTGACCTGGTCAGGGACTTCTATGTGTAATACGGCATCGCTGACAAATGCAAGCTGGATTCTTAATGTACACAGTGGCTCAGAAACGAGGTTTCAGATCTTTGTATTTGTGACTCGGTAGAGTACCCCATTACAGATTTGAATTGGAGGGCTTCTTGTGAGTTACAGGTTCCACATTGTTGGAACTGAGGACAAGAATAGCTTGTTACTGTTATCTGTGATAACACTTTGTTTTCTAAACTCTGGCTTTTCTATGTTATTTATTAAAATCAAGAAAGATATTGCCATATCAGAGTAGTAGGCCTCAAATGGAATTTGACTAAGATAATAAGAGCAGTTTATTTAGCTATTTTTCTATACAGTAAGTGCTACGTGGTATAAAACAAAAACTTGGATTCAAACTAGTTCTGCCACCTACCAGCTAGATGGCTTTGGGAGAGTCCTTCAGCTTTAACATGCTTCATTTTCTTCTGTTTAAAAAAGAAAAACTGAAACAGTTTTAACCATCTGCTTAAGAATCATTTCAAAGTTAGAAATCAATTTTTCTTACAAACCTCTTTGCCTACTTGGCTGGCCTGGCCTGGACTGGACCAAAAGCACTGGAGGCTCTGAAATAATAATTCAGCTTCTTCACCTTTCACATGTTTCTTAAAATTATTTTGTGAAAATATATTTTAAAAATCGGTAACACTGGGGCCAGCGCTGTGGTATAGCAGGTAAAGCCATGGCCTGCAGTGCCAGCATCCTATATGGGCACCAGTTCCAGTCAGCTGCTCCACTTCCGATCCAGCTCTCCGCTGTGTCTGGGAAAGCAGAGGAGGATGGCCCACGTCCTTGGCCCCTGCACCCGCGTGGGAGACCGAGAAGCTCCAAGCTCCTGGCTTTGGATCAGCGCAGCTCTGGCCGTTGCGGCCATTTGGGGAGTGAACCAGCAAGTGAAGACTCTCTCTGTCTCTATAACTCTGCCTTTCAAATGAATAAATAAATTTTTAAAAAAACAATAGTTCTAAAAAAAAAAGGACAATAACGTTTCACAGGTTTTTAAGATGTGTGTTGTAAACAGTTTTTAAATGAATATACTCATTTTTAATTCCAAAGAAGATACCTCTAAAAATAAAACAGTTTTGACCACAGAAACACTCTACCAACTCTTGTTTTTCTCTGTAAGCAAACTTGATTTTGTCCCCTCTTGTTTAGCTCTTCTCCCACCCCAGGCTTTGCCTTGAGATTCAGTGAGGTCTAAAGGACTGCTGACTACTGAGCAGTATTTAGATAGTTGATTTAATATATGCTCTGGAAAATACCAACCTCAGCACTGTTTTCCTTGCCACTGTTTTATTGCCATTCTGCCTTTGTAAGTGAGCACAGTATACTAGGACAGTTTGATCTTTTCCCTCCAGTAGCTTTACAGAGCTGACTGGACCAGAGCGTGGACAGAGGTCCTGCCCCAGAAGAAAAGGGTCAGGGTGCTGTCCTCAGCCTGGCTCAGCATCTTGGCTTCTTCGTGTCTCTGATGGTGGGGACGTCGAAGAGCCGCTTCAAGAAATGAAGCTGCAATACCCCGGAAAGAACAATGACAAGGCTCTGTGCTGCCGACCACCAGTTCACATAGTTGTAATTTGATTGGAGAAGGAAGAAGTCACCCATTTTCCTCATCCGGGCGAAGTTGTAGAATCGCCACATGTGGAAGATGTTGTTCTGCACCCTTTGTGTGCTCTCCTGTGGTGGGGAACATCAGTGATTACCATTGCCAGCACAGTAAAGTCGCCGATTGCCACCTAGTCTCATTTGGGCGGTTACCAGCACCCTTACTTAGGTTATCTGGAAGTTGAGTAATTCACTGTCAATTTTAGATAAGTAGTACTAGTATACTTGCTGATAAATGCTAATGTTGCTGTATGTGAAGAATGATCTTTAACTGTAGTTTTTAAAACTATATTATAATGAAAAATGTGAGTGTTCAAATCAGACAGCTCTTCCAGAAGGGTGCAGTGCCTCTGGATTTGAAACAAACTGAATTTACCGTTACCCCTCCAGGTGTATGTTAGAAGACAAAGGCCTGGGGACTGTTAAAGGGCCAAGTAGTAAATATTTTGGCTTTGCTGACTGTGTGGTCTCTTGGAGCTACCAAACGCTGCTCTTAGAATGCAAAAACAGCCTTAGATGGTGTGACATGTTCAAACAAGCATGGCTGCCTTCCAGCAAAGCTTCCCATTTACAAAGGCAGCGAGCCTCTTGGGTGTCACGAAGACTATCAAAGTGAAAAGATCCCACAGAATGGGAGAAAATATCTGCAAACTGTATCTGATAAAGGACTTGTATCCAGAATATGTAGATAAAGCTCTTAAAAATGGACAAGATTTGGGTAGAATTTCTGCAGAGAAGATACACAAATGGTCAATAAAAAGGTGAGAAGATGTTCAGTAATCCAGGATATGAGATACCACTTGACACCCATTAGGGTGGCTGTAATAAAGGCAGTAACAAGTATGGATGGCCAGTCAGGGCTGGTGCTGTGGCATTGTGGCTAAAGCTGCCGACTGCAGTGCTGACATCCCATATGGGTGTCGGTTAGAGTCCTGGCTGCTCCACTTCCTATCCAGCTCTCTGCTATGGCCTGGGAAAGCAGTAGAAGATGGCCCACCCAGGTGGGAGACCCAGAAGCTCCTGGCTCCTGACTGAATTGGCCCAGCTCTGGCTGTTGCAGCTATCTGGGGAGTGAACCAGCAGATGGAAGACCTCAGCCTCGGCCTCTAGCTCTGCCTTTCAAATAAGATAATAAATCTTAAAAAAAAAAAAAAAAAAAAAGAAAGAAATGTTCCTGGCCAGGATGTGGAGAAATTAGAACCCTCCTGTGCTGCTGTTGGGAGTGTAAAATGGTTTAGCCACTGTTACTCGACAAAGGCTGGTTACCACATGACCCAAGGATTGTACTTCTAGCCATACAAAATAGAAAACTAATGTAAAAATTGGTATGGAAATGTTCACAGCAGCATTATGATAGCCAAAAGGTGAAAATAATCAGTGTTTATCCACTGCTTAATGGATAAATAAGATGTTTTCCCATACAGTATGTTAGCCCTAAAAAGGAGCTGAAGACATAAGTGCAACAATGTGGATGGATCATGAAAACACACCAGGAAGGAGAAGCTGGACACTGATGGCCGTGTATTGGAGGCTGGCATTGTGGTGCAGTGAGTTATGCCACACCTGCAATGCTGGCATCCCATTTGAGTGGTGCTTGCTTTCAGTGCAGCTCCCTGCTCCTGTTCCTGGGAAGGCCACATAACGTGGCCCAAGCACTTGCATCCTTATCACCCACATGGATGAACTGGGTGAAGTGCCAGGCTTCTGGCTTCAGCCTGACCCAGCCCCAGTTGTTGGTGCCATTTGGGAGTGAGCCAATTGAAGATCTTTCTCCCTCCATCTGTAACTCTGCCTTTCAAATAAATATCTTTTTAAAAGGCCATTCATTGTATGGTTCAATCTATATGAAATGTACAGAATAGGTAAGTCAAGACTAGGGTCTCATGGGAAATGGAGAGAGAAATGGATAGAAGGTTTCTTTTTGGGGTGATAAGACTTAGGGAATTAGATGCCAATGGTGTTTGCATGGTCCTGTGAATATGCTGTTGATGTTCAGTTGTATGATATATGTTCTGTCTCTATTAGGAAAAAAAGGCAGTAGCCCAGATTGGGCCTGTGAGCCAATTTGCCAACCGCTGGTATAAAACAAGTGAGGAATTTCAAAAACTCCAAGTAAAAAATGTATGAAAGGATTCAGATCCCTTTGCCTACATGGTTTCTACCCAAATGAGCCCTCATTCCAGTTTAAAATCGGTTTCCACAGAGGTTTCCCACAGAATGCCCCATTACCTCAATTGCATCCAGAGTGTCGTTCAGTTGCTTCCTGTCCTGCTGTTTATGGTCCGTCTCAGGCCCCTCATAGAAAATTCCAAAATTGAGGTACACTTGCACAGAACCAAAGTGATTTTGCTGATTACTTAGACAAAGCTGGTAAAAACCTGTAGGAATTCATGCATCATTACTAAGTCTTGCGTCTCCTACTCTGTTAAGATTTCCCTAGAGACAGCTTCTCAGCCTTAAAATTGCTGCCGTAGCACCCTGTTTACTTGGGAAGTCTAGAGATCCCATGTTTGACATGGAAGATGTTACATAAAATTTATTTTTAATTTTGTCAAATATCAATAACTTTATACTGAATAAAAAACCAGTGTACTCTTTAACCTGTGCTTCCCACATGTTATTGAGGAACAACAGGTTGGCTTGCAATTAAGAGCATGAAGTATGTGCTCATTGCACAGCATCAGAGCTAGAATACCACCCTGAACTTAAACTAAGGGAGAAAGTGATGTGAATGAAACCACCCTGGAGTAATTGCTTGCCGGGTAACGTGTACAGAGACTGATGGTTTAAGCTATCTGCTGGTGCTGGCTCTTGGCTGACGTTGCCGTCGTGTGTGTAGGTTGGGTGGAGATTCCAGTAGTCAGAGAGCCAGTGGTTGTTGAGATCAGAGAGGTCAAAATGACTGGGAGGCACTGTCGGCATGTAGGGGCCTGTGATGCCAAGTTTGTCTGATGCTCCCGTTGAGAAAGTCCTCTTGGTGCACCTGGCTAGTAAAGAGGGCAGGTGAGTCTGGCGCAGTGCCGGCGGGGGCGGGCTTGCTCTTGCTGGAGGGATTTTTGACTGGAGAAGTGTGTTGTGGAGTGTGGGTATCTCCTGTGGCTGTTCTAAATCTGCTTTTAGTCACTGGCTCAAAGTATTCTGATGACTGGAAAGAAACGCTACCTCACAGCAAATGAATTGGAATTCTATATTATAAATGGATCTCTGAGTCATTTTCCCAGTCTGATTAGCTTCTAGGGAGGTTGTTAATAGTCACCTGGAGACACTGCCCCCACCCCACCCCACCTGCCCTTAGACATGAGCAGTCTTCAGGAGCACTGGCTCTGGGTGCTGAAGGCTCAATATTTTTCCTTCTGTTTCACCATCTCGATGTACTTCCTTTTCCTCCAGTTACTTGGAAACCTATGAATGTTGTAATAGCTATGATGATGGAAACAGACCTGTCTCTTTGGTAGGGAAGTTAATCTGTCCCCGAACATCCTGGGAAGTGTCTAAGAGGACACCCTGCGGGGTGTGTGCCGTGGCAGCAACGTGCCGGTCATGTGACATCCCCAGTGTCCGCTGAACCTGCCGAGACACATTAAAATGGAAGAAAAGCAGCTGCTACATCACTGATAATCCACATAGGTGGTAGGTAAGGTTGAAATCCCACCATCAGCACCTCGGTGACTTCCATCTGGGATGGTGCAAATCTGGGGAGGTTGGAAGAGTTTTTAGTTGTCATGGTGACGGTGTTCAATGTGGAGGCACAGAAATCTAAATACCCTTGCAGAACAAAGAATTGCGCAAAATGCCTACAGCACCCCTGCTAAGGAAGAAGCCCAATCTGACCGGTCATTTGGTGTGGATTAGCGGATAGGTTGGGTTCTGGCTGGAGTTCTTCACTGAACTTGTTTGGTGAGCTCCTTGGCAGTGTCCCACACTTGGACATTTGTTGCCTTGCAGCCCATACCCACAGCAGGCACTTGTCTCAAGCCGAATCTTTTTTCTTTTTCCTTTGGAAAGGCAGAGTGGCAGAGATATCTTCAGTCCCTGGTACATTTACATTTACATAACCAGGACAGCAGCTGGGGCTGGGCGCCAGGTTGAAGCCAGGAGCCTGGAACTCCACCCGGCTCTCCCATATGGACAGCAGAGATTCTAGTACTTGAGCCACCATCTGCCTCCCAGGTGCACGTTAGCAGGAAGTTGGGTGGGAAGCAGAGTAGCCAGGACTCAGGCACTCTGATGGATGCAGGTGTCCCGAGTGGCAGCTTAGCCCGCTGTGCCACAGTGCCCACTCCCAAGCTGGATCTTGGTAAGTCCAGGCTATAGTGAACTGACTAGTAGCTGCTGTTCAAAAATATTCAGAGATAAGGACAATCTCTGATAAGGTGTTGGTTTTTTTTTTTTTTTTGGACAGGCAGAGTGGACAGTGAGAGAGAGACAGAGAGAAAGGTCTTCCTTTGCCGTTGGTTCACCCTCCAATGGCCGCCGAGGCTGGCGCAATGCGGCCGGTGCACCGCACTGATCCGAAGGCAGGAGCCAGGTACTTCTCCTGGTCTCCCATGGGGTGCAGGGCCCAAGCACTTGGGCCATCCTCCACTGCACTCCCGGGCCACAGCAGAGAGCTGGCCTGGAAGAGGGGCAACCGGGACAGAATCCGGAGCCCCGACCGGGACTAGAACCCGGTGTGCTGGCGCCGCAAGGCGGAGGATTAGCCTAGTGAGCTGCGGCGCCGGCCTCTGATAAGTTTATTTAAAACAGATTTTAAGTTACAGTGGAATGGAATAAGATCAACATAATCTATTACTATATAAATAAAAACTGGAAATTTAGCAGATTTCTAAGATAAAGGAAACAGGCTACAACTTTAATGCTGACTTTTGTACTGTTAACAGTATAGTTAAACGTTCTTGACCCGTGATCAGGTAACTTGAAAGCATTTACCTTCTTAAGAGACGTAGGATTGTGTTGCTGAGTAGAAACAAACCTTGAGCCAGTGACTCTCCAGTTTGTTGGGATCACTCTAAAGGCAGAATAGCATATGTTGCTCCCCTGGCCCCATGAACTTTGAAATCTTTGGGTCTCCAAAGTTCATGCTACTTCTTCATTTGAATTTGTACTAAATCTTTATTAATGTCATAAGTAAATGTTAAAAGTACGCCTCCCTTGGTAGGAAAAGCCAAACCATATGTTTTAGCTCTTATTGGGGATTATTCATCCGAGAGTTCTCCTCTAACTGCAGGTTCATTTCATTAATAGGTGGGGAATCACAGTGTAACAGACAACCAAGCCTTGTTTTAGTCTAGAACCTGACCCACTTTACAAAATGAAAAAGAACAAATCTCCAGTGTGGCTGGAGGAGCCCAAGTACCTCATAACTGAAATAGAAGTATCCAGCCTGTTGGGCAAATTGCCAAAAGCATTCTGTGCCTCCCGGAGGGATCATGATGGCAAAGTCATGTCGATCAGCTGCACGCAAGAGCGGCTGGCCAGGTAGGAGTTGTGTCTTCTGGTTCCTAATAGGAATCACTAGATGCAGAATCACCAACCCAGCCCCAAAGAGCAAAGGGGACATGCTGCTTCCTGTAGACTCTGCAGGTGCTGCTTGCAGCCCAGTGGAACCAAAGTGGTTTAGACGACTGCTGGGGTAATCATTAACCCCACAATTCAAGTTAGGCCAACTTCAGGGCCTTGCACAAACATCCAGTAATAGAACTGCCATGACACGTCCACTCTCGTCTCACAGTTTTTGCTTTCACCTCCAAAACGCAGTGGCTTGCTTATCAAACCTAAATAGGGGCTCCACAGAGTATGCCTCAGGAGAGGTTCTTGTCTACTCTTTGGGCTAACATTTTTTTTTTTTGGGGGGGGGGTGGGCTATCATTTTCAGTTCATGCTTCTTAGGAATAAAATATTAGCAAAGTTTATTTATAATCACCTGAATATACACCTAAATAGACAAAAGCCAGGTGGGGAGATTTTTTTTCTTATGTTGAATTGCTAGGTGCTACCTGCTCTTTCCAAACAAGACAGAGAAACCCCAGATTGCTCAATGCTACATATTACAGAAGGTACAGCACGGGCCGGCACTGTGGCACAGCAGGTTAAAACCCTGGCCTGAAGTGCCAAAATCCCATTTGGGCGCCGGTTCTAGTCCCGGCTGCTCCTCTTCCGATCCAGCTCTCTGCTGTGGCCTGGGATAGCAGTAGAAGATGGTCCAAGTCCTTGGGCCCCTGCGTCCATGTGGGAGACCTGGAAGAAGCTCCTGGCTCCTGGCTTCAGATCAGCGCAGCTCCAGCTGTTGCGGCCAGCTGGGGAATGAACCAGTAAATGGAGGACCTCCCTGTCTCTCTCTGCCTCTCCTCTGTGTAACTCTTTCAAATAAATCAATAAATAAAAAAAAAAAAAGGGGGTACAGCATGCAACCTTTAAATGAAGAGTAACAAAGACAGTGGCCAACCCCTCACCAACATGCCTTGTTCTTTTATCTTCTACCTGGTATATTATCTAAAGCTATGCAGAGCCACCCAGAGACTTAAGTTGTTCAGACCTCTTCTTCCATTCAGGACTTCAGCATCCACTGACTCCGTGGCAAGCACTGAGCTGAGAGGTGCTTGCATCTTCCTGGTCCCAACAGACCCATGAAGGAGGTTACTGTGGTCCACGTTCAGAGATGAGGAAGAAGACAGGAAACTGAGTGGCTGGCTCATGGTCTCAAGCACAGCTACCAGAGCTGGGCCCTCATGGGGGCTCGAATTCTTAACCATCAGGACTATTCCTCAAGCTATTGGTCTGAGTTCTGACAATGTTAAAACATGCTGTTTCTTTAATAATCTTACAAATCAAGATGCATTATCACCTTCTAATGAAAAAGTGCTTCAGCCTTCACTGCAGTGATTCCTGGTATCACAAGCTAAAAAACAGAGAAGACTTCATATGATCCAGTCCCAGGGAGGCCAAACACAGGGCAACACAGGGCAGGCACAGTGGTCCTGCAGCTGTCTGGATAAAGTGAAGGCAGGAGACCTGTGGACCATCAGTGTACAGTGCTACAGGCGTCCCTGACATGGATCCCACTGCCACAGCAATCCTACCACCACTCACAGCATGAGTGGAATCAGCTAGTCACTGATCACAGTAAGTTACACAGTTCTGCGGAAGCTGTAAAACACAGTTTTGTTTGTACACATTTCAGTAACACTCTTCTAACACTGAAGTTTCATGAAAAAACAGTTAATGGTGGTAGGATTCTGGCATAGCAACTACGATGCTGCTCAAGACGCCGTATCCCATGTTGCAGTACCAGCTCTGCTCCTGGTCCCAGCTGTTACCAGACCCTGGGAAGCAGCCGTTGATGACTCAAGTGGTTGGGTCCCTGCCACCCACATGAGAGACAGAAACAGTTCTTGCTCCCAGCTCCAGCCCAAGTCTTTGTGGTATTTGGGGGATGAATCAGTGATCAGGGTCTGTCTCTCTTTCAAACAAAACAAAAGTTAATGGACTTGCAGTTTCTCAAGTTTAAGAACCACTGATTCGGATATTAGTTCTTAAATCTACAATTTCATGCTATCTGAAAGGCAGGAGAGAAAACAGCTATCTTCCGTCTGCTGGTTCATGCCCCATCATGCCCCACAACAGCTGGGGATGAGGCAGCTCACAATCAGGAGCTAAAACTCAATCCAGGTGTCTCATGTGGCTGGCAGGAACTCAATTACTTGAGCCTCACTGTTGCCTCCCAGGATGCACATTAGCAGGAAGGGAGAGACAGAAGCGGAACCAGGACTTGAACTCAGGCACTTCTGGGATGCCGGCATCCTAAGCCACACTCCTGCCCAGACGATACAGTTTGACTCTTTTACCTAGAAAGTGCCTTCACATCATCTGAGTTGAAAAGAGAAAACTGCATTCTAATCTGATGGCTTGGAGGACACAACCAGCTGCAACCAGAAGGTTGCTGGACCAAGAGGAGCTCACATCCTCAGCTCCCCTGGTGTTGGCTGATAGAAAAACAGTGGTACCAAACCCAAAGTACACTGTTAGTAGGCAGGAAGGATGAACAGAGTTTCCAGTTTGTAACTAATGGATGAGTTCTAAAGCTTTAGCATTTCTTTACCCCTTGCCTCTACCCCCCCACAGTGAGAAGGGAGGAATTCTCTTGTCCTCAGAAGAAATTAACAGATTAAGAGGCAAATTCCATATCATCATCTGTCGTAGCTTCCAAGGATTAGAAATTCCAGTACAGTTAAGACATTAGCTCCTTCATCAAAACAGTTTAGCAAACTCTGTTCATCATTTGTCTGCCTCCATCTGTGAATACATGCTGGGCTTCAATTAATGAGCTACTTAAATCTGAGAGAAGCAAGACTTTAATGAAGAATGCTACAAGTATGGACAATAATTAGTTCTCATATTTTAAAAAAAGATTACAGAAAACACTTTACTGAAATTTTTTGCTAAAAAGACAGTCTTTAAGGATGTCCAAGAGAGACAGCAAGCACAACACAGTACAAAAGGAGAAGGGAATTTTGAATTCCAGTGCAAGACACTAACACAGCACAAGTAGAGAATCGGGCGGAAGCAACCATTTCACAAAGAATGGAACTGGGCATTCATATTCAATCAGGATTTGTTTTTTTGTTTTGTTTTGTTTTGTTTTTAGCTTTAAAATTCAGCTAAGGGAGGGGACTGGGAAGGAAAGGGGTGTAGCTAAGCTTATCTACAATCACCATTTTACCATAAAACACACTGGTTCAACCACATGAGAAGTGGAGGACAAACCTGCCTACACAGTCCAGCAGATATTAAGAGGCATTGCCAGGGCAGTCAGGTCTGGGGTTGATCACAACTGTTTCCAGTTTTTAAAGGGAGTCTGATTCCACAAGGACTGCTCTTACCAACCTGGGCTCCTAACAAACAGATGATGTTCCTTTCAATTTGCATCAGAAGGCCAACATTTTACATTGAACAAGTTCACTCCAAAAAATGCTCATGTTGCTGGTTTTAAAAGATCATGGGGTCATAAGTGGCTCCTAATAGACTCCATCATTTCCTAGAAGATTCTACAGATTACCAGGGATTTAAATGTAAGCAAACCACTAAAAAAGGGAAATCCTAAGGATATTCTGGCACTACACAAGCTGCGTGCCTGTCACCTCTGCCAGGACACGGGGCAGATTGGCTTTGCTTCTTGGCTCCATGATCTCCCACAGTGAGGAAGTGGAGCGGGGACATCCCCGTGCTGACAGAGGCTGCCCAAATCCTTAGCCCAGCCCAGCTTCTGAAAGAACAGCAGACTACCAGGACTATAATTAGGAACCAGGCTCCTGTGAATCCTGTGGAAATGAAGGCTTGTTTCAGTTCATGCCAAGTTTTTTCATGGTCCGCCAGCGATCCTTAATCATCACAGCTGTTCGATTAACAAATGGGTAATTTTTAGAAATGGCAGCCCAGTTTCCTTCCCCATACTTCTGCACACCAGCCTTGACCCACTCGCTTTCTTCTACAGTCCACTTCTGCAAAAGAAAACAGAGGCCACATTTCAGCGATGCTCTTCATTTGTATCTTCTCCAACACGTGATGAAATACACTCAGAATCCTAGTGAGCACGGTGCTGTGGTGTAGTGGGTTCAGCCGCCATCTGCAGTGCCGGCATCCCATATGGGTGCCAGTTTGAGCCCCAGCTGCTCCACTTTTTTTTTTTTGACAGGCAGAGTTAGTGTGAGAGAGAGAGAGAGACAGAGAGAAAGGTCTTCCTTTTTCTGTTGGTTCACCCCCCACAAGTGGCTGTTATGGCCGGCGCACTGCGCCAATCTGAAGCCACGAGCCAGGTGCTTCCTCCTGGTCTCCCACGCAGGTGCAGGGCCCAAGCACCTGGGTCATCCTCCACTGCACTCCGGGGCCACAGCAGAGAGCTAGACTGGAAGAGGAGCAACTGGGACAGAATCCGGTGCCCCAATTGGGACTAGAACCCGGGGTGCCGGCACCGCAGGCAGAGGATTAGCCTAGTGAGCCGCGGTGCTGGCCAAGCTGCTCCACTTTTAATCCAGCTCTCTGCTCATGTGCCTGGGAAAAGCAGCGAAGATGGCCCAAGTCCCTGGGCCCCTGCACCAACATGGGAGACCAGGAAGAAACTCTGGGCTTCTGGCTTCAGCCTGGCCCAGCCCCAGCCAGGATCTAGAAACTCATCCTGCAGCTCTCACATGAAAAGGGATCCAACTACTTAAGCTATCACCTGCTGCCTCCCAGTGTGTCCATCAGCAGGGAGCCGGAATCAGGAGTGGGGCTGGGACGCAAACCCACACACTCAGATAGAGATGCAGCATCTCAGGTGACACGTTTTGTTTTTTTTTAGGCTATGAAAGTATTTTATTTAGTAATGGAAAATATCACTAATTAAAATCTAGGAATGCATTACATTTAGCTCTCTATCCTTTGCAAGAGTTTCCACAAATAGTAGCATAGGGCTTCATTCCCCAGGTGACATCTTAACCACTGGCAAACCCTCATCCCATCTGCTAGGATTCAAAGATTTATTTATTTATTTGAAAGACAGAGTTACAGTGAGACAAGGAGAGACAGATCTTCCAGCTGCTGGTTCACTCCCCAAATGGCCACAATGGCCAGCACTGGGCCAGGCAAAAGCCAGGAGTCAGGAGCTTCATCTGGGTCTCCCACATGGGTGGCAAGGGCCCCAGCTCTTGGGCTATTCCCTGCTGCTTTTCCCAGGCCATTAGCAGGGAGCTGGATCAGAAGTAGAGCAAGCGGGACAAAAACCAGCACCAATATGGGATACCAGCAGAGCAGGCGGGCTTTCCCTGCTACGCCACAGCACTAGTCCTGAGGAAATTCGAGGCAGCAACATGTTCAGGCTGTAGCATGGGAGTTACTGCCTACTGTTAGTAACATTGTTGCACAGTGACAATCAGGAAATACTAATGAAACTGAAAAGGAACAGAGCAGAAAGATTTGGAAATGTGGAGCCTGGCCATAGAAGAAAGGAAGAAAATCCTTGTTTGGGACAGGGTTAACGAGGTAGAGTACTCACTAGCTAAAGAGATGAGTGCAGGAAAAAAGGAGCTATGTGCTAATAGGGAAAAAATGGAAGATCGATCCCAAAGGCATTCAAAGATCTTCACGGCTGCCCTTCCCATCACAGGCCCAGGGGCCCGGAAGAGCAGAATTGTTTGTGAAATCCCAGGACACTTTCAGTGACCCTGCCCACTACTGACTTGGGATTCATTTCCCGGTACTCTGCCAGCAAAGCACTCAGCAGCTGCTGCCATGGTTCAAGTGGGCCCAAGCTGCCTCATACACCTGCCATTTTAGCTGCAAATTTCCAATGTGTATATGTTGCGCATGTCAGGTTTCTGTCCCCCTAGATTTTTTTCTTCCACAGAAAAATTTAGTTTGAATTATCCGAAAACCTCAAAACAACCCCCAACAAACAAAGTTACTGGGTGCATGTTAATCTATGTCTGTGAGAAAGGGATCTTATGACTTGCATCAGAAAAGAAACCATGAATTACCTGCTTTCTTGCTATCATGCTGGCACTGTCTTCATCTGGTGCTGCTAGAAAACATGAAAGTGCACTCGTTTCAGAGTTCAGCTTTTACTGTGTAAAACATCAGAAAAAACAGAGAACGTCCCCAAGGGAAAACCGGCTTCAAATGTCACAAGCATGGAGATATCACTAAAGGAGAATGTATTTGTGTCCTTTGTTTGCAAAGACCACTTTAGCCCGCAAGTCTATATAGGGCAAGTGCATTACCAACAGGCTTTCAATAGATACAGACTAATGATACATTTCAGACTGTCTAGAAAAGATTATTTTCTAAAATTACTGAGGGACTATCATATTCTGGTTTTTTTTTATTTTATTTATTTATTTATTTATTTATTTATTTATTTATTTATTTTTGACAGGCAGAGTGGACAGTGAGAGAGAGAGACAGAGAGAAAGGTCTTCCTTTGCCGTTGGTTCACCCTCCAATGGCCGCCGTGGCTGGCGCGCTGCGGCCGGCGCACCGCGCTGATCCAATGGCAGGAGCCAGGAGCCAGGTGCTTTTCCTGGTCTCCCATGGGGTGCAGGGCCCAAGCACTTGGGCCATCCTCCACTGTACTCCCTGGCCACAACAGAGAGCTGGCCTGGAAGAGGGGCAACCGGGACAGAATCCGGTGCCCCAACCGGGACTAGAACCCGGTGTGCCGGCGCCGCTAGGTGGAGGATTAGCCCAGTGAGCCGCGGCGCTGGCCTTGTTTTTTTTTTTTTTTTTTTTAAAGATTTTATTTATTTATTTGAGAGGTAGAGTTACAGACAGTGAGAGGGAGACACAGAGAGAAAGGTCTTCCTTCCGTTGGTTCACTCCCCAGATGGCCGCAACGGCCGGAGCTGTGCTAATCTGAAGCCAGGAGCCAGGCGCTCCTTCCTGGTCTCCCACGTGGCTACAGGGGCCCAAGGACTTGGACCATCTTCTACTGCTTTCCCAGGCCATAGCAGAGAGCTTGACTGGAAGAGGAGCAGCCAGGACTAGAACCAGTGCCCCTATGGGATGCCAACACCGCAGGCGGAGGATTAACCTACTGGGACACAGCGCCGGCCCCTGTCATATTCTGTTTTTAAGATTTATTTATTTGAGAGCATTAGAGAGAGGGAGAGACAGATCTCTCATCCTCTATTTCAATCCCTAAATGGCCCAAACAGCCAAGTCTGAGCCAGGCCAAACCCAGGAGTCAGGTGCTTCATCTGGGTGTCCCACATAGGTAGCAGGAAAAAAGCACTGCATTTCCTAGTCCATTAGCAGGAATCTTGATGGGAAGTGGAGCAGCTGGCACATGAACCAGCCCCCATTAGGGACGCTGAGGTTGCAGGCAGCTGTCTTACTGGCTATGCCACAATGCCAGCCCCTGTCATATTTTTTTGTTTTTGTTTTAAAGATTTTTAAATTTTATTTGAAAGGCAGAGTTACAGAGAGAAGACACAGAGAGAGGAAGAGAAAAAGAGAGAAAGATCTTCCATCCATTGGATCACTTCCCAAATAGCTGCAAGAGCTAGGGCTGGGCCAGACTGAAGCCAGCCTTCCAGGTCTGCCACGTAAGTGCTAGGGCCAAAGTGCTTGGGCCATCCTCTGCTGCTTTCCCAGGTATTTTAGCAGGGAGCTGGATTGGAAATGGAGCAGCCAAGACTCGAACTGGCACCTCTGTCTTATTCCTTAAATTTAATTTCACTTTATTTTTTAAAGTTCATTTATTTAGAAAGGCAGAATAACTAGTTTATTTCCCAAATGCCCACAAAAGCCAGGGCTAAGCCAAGCTGAAACCAGGAGCCAGGAACTGCATCTGGGTCTCCTATGTGGGTGGCAGGGACCAAACACTTGGGCTATCACCTGCTGCCTCCCAGGGTGTGCATTAGCAGGAAGCGGAATTGGAAGTGGGGGAGCCAGGACTGGAACCAGGCACTTCAATATAAGATACATGAATCTCACGCAGCAACTTAACTGCCATGCCGAATACCTACCCCAGGACTGTTTTATTTAAAACTCTAACATGTATGTATGTATATGATATGGTATTTCTGCTTTATGGCTCCCTGCCAGCCACTGCTTTGATATAACAGTTTTATTGATTTAAATCAGAATTTTCAAATCCTTACTCATTTTATCCAAGTTTAATTTGGGTCAGTTTCCTGAGCAAGAGTCCGCACTCCTACAGACCATGTGAGGTCTTTTCAAGCTCTTCTTCTCAGCCTATAAATAAGAGATCACGTCTCAGAGCTAGTGTTGTGGCACAGCAGGTTAAACCACTGCCTGTGATGCCAGCATCTCACACTGGGGCCAGTTCAAGCCCCAGATGCTCTACTTTCGATCCAGCTCCCTGCTAATGTGTCTGAGAAAGCAGTGGAGGATGGCCCAAATACTTGGGCTCCTATATCCATGTTGGAGACCTGAAAAAAGCTCTGGCTTTAGCCTGGCCCAGCCCTGGCCCTTGCAGCCATTTGGGAAATGAACCAGCAGGATCTCCCTTTAATGCTGCCTTTCAAAAAAAAGATTGAGGCTGGCACTGTGGCATAGCACATAGAGCCACTGCCTGCGATGCCATCCCTTATGGGTGTCCCTACTGCTTCACTTCTGATCTAGCTCCCTGCGAATAGCCTGGGAAAGCAGTGGAGGGAGACCCAAGTGTTTGGGCATCTGCCACCCATATGGGAGACCTGGAAGAAACTCCTGCCTCCTGGCTTCAGCCTGGCCCAGAGCTGGCTGTTTTGGACATCTGGGGAGTGAACCAGCAGGTGGAAGATCCCTCTCTCTAACTCTGATTTTTCAAAATAAATTAATTTAAAAAAGAAAAAAAATATGTATATATAGAGCTAGTAAGAGTTTTTTTTTTCTTCAACAACAACCAAAAAAATGGAGGGAATGACCCATAACCATCTTTTCTAATTAAAGGACTTTAGGAAGAACACCAACTATATTAAATCATAGTTTTTACTGAAATACAGCTAGGAATTCTCTTTAATCATAAAGTGCTGCTTTGACAGTCTCCATGGCTTACTGGGAAAGGACATGAAACTGACTCCTTGTCAATCCAAATGAGGTCAGACCTTAGTAAATTTTTCTATTTTGACAGCTGTAGATTCTGGAACATGAAGAGAACAACATATATCTGTAATCCAGCAAACATTAAGGAAGCGCCGAGGCGATTCCACGGCTCACCCTGAACTTGAAACAAGTCGTCCTCTTCCACCCAGGTCTCTTTTTCTTCCACCCCGTTAGAGCTGTTCCACTTGCTCTTGGGCACTCTGAGGGAGATCAAAGAGAGAACAAGATGTAAAACAAATTCATCCCAGCACATCCCATACTCTGTCCTCCACACGCTGGCCCGTACTCATCCTTGTTTGTGCCCACATGTGAGGTCCATCTGCATACAATTCCAAATCCACTGCCTCCCTCCCTGGCTGGCCAGCATCTCCACGTGAACACCCCCAGGCTGCAGGACCACTGCCCAAACAGCACTGAGTACATCACCGCCACCCGAAATCTCTTTTCTTCCTGGAATTTGTTTTGATTGTGTTTGACTTTTCTAACCCAGAAGATACAAACTCCTCCTTGATGCTCATCCCTGGGTGGACCTGCTTTCCCTCCTCGGTTCCCCTAGTTCAAGACACTGGTGCCTTTCACCAGGATTACACTGGCCTTTCCCTTCCAAAGCCACCAGAACAAGTGTGCTGCACTGACCACACCCCTCATGCCTGTGATGGCTTCTCCCTGTGTGAACGGCAGAGCCTAATGCCTTTATGGGGCACCCAGAACACCCAGTCTGCCCCCAGCTCTCACAAACGCACGCACACACAGCACCACTGCTCTTCTTCCTCCTATAAGCTCTGCACTTTCCTGCTCTGTGTGTCCTGTTCCCTTTACCTGGGAGTCCCTTCCCTGCCCAAATCCTAGCCATCCTCCAAGGCCATCTCTCAACAAAGCTTCCTCTTACTACCAACCCCAACACAAAGTCCCTAGTCCTCTATGCTGTGGCACAGGCATCCACTCAATAAAGAAGCATTTCACAATGTGCCCCAACCATGAGCTTCTTAAAGGCAGGGACCAAATCTTCATTTGCTACCCAACACCCAGCGCAGTCACACACCCCCTAACAGTAAGTAAGGCAATAATGGGATTGTCCAAGCACCACACAGGCGTTACAACATCAAGGATTAAATAAGCAAGAATCCTTCCTCTGAGCCTGAGATGTTAAGTACTTGGGTATAGCCCAAGGAAAGTCCCCCAACTGAAAAATAAACCCAAACCCAAAGTAAATGAAAACTGATTTGCCTCTTCTAATCAACTTTGTTACCTGACTGGCCTCAGAAAATGAAAACATCGCTTACAAAACAAACAGAAATGTCTGAATTAAGAGTTCTGAAAACATATGTAAATAACTTGTACAAGCTGACCAAGACAATGGACAAATCTGTTCTTCTACATGAAAAGAAACAATTTTTAACACTCTGGTAATTTTGCAAATAACTAATGAAAGCAGTTGGCTGATAAGTACATAGGTTTGGAAAAATTCCTTTGAGTTTCGTTTTTATTAAGTTATTTAACCAACTGTTAGAAGACAAATGGTGGACTCTCCTTTGTTTTTAAATCGGATCATATGACCCAAACTCCTGAAATAAATTTGTTAATAACACAGGGAAAGAATTACATAAGGTTTTTCTTCCTCTGAATATTACTGTCAACAAAAAGTCAGAGGGGCTACAGTTTTCTCTGTGCTTGGCTCAGTGCTGGCATAAAACTGACTTCAAGCCAGTGTGCAGCTGTTGTCTTCACAGGCCGCATCCCTGCTTATGGGCATTATTCCTATACAACTGTCCTGGTAGTCGCTTGAAGTGTTTCAGACAATGATTTCTTGTTGACAGTTCTTGGGTGGAAGGGGCTGAGATTAGGCCTATTAACTGTTGGTGGTTCTGTGGGCCCAGGCAACTCGGGCCACTTTATGATCTTTAAGTTGCTCACTTGCAAAGTGAGAACTCCATGAGCAGGAGTCTACCAGGAGCCAGCTAACTAGTCTGGCTGCTGGCTTTATGTGACATTGATGGGCTAAAGGTCTTTACATTTTTAAAAAGTGCAAAAAAACATAAGATGGAGAAATTATGTGGCCTACAATACCTCTGCTGGCCTTTTACAAAGTTTGGGTGTCACCCCTTACATTGCAAGAACAAGAATCATATTTGGTTACCTTGCTACATGCAAGGTACTACTGAGACAAAGCCTAGGAGCCAAAGCCCTGCCCCCAGTGATTGCCCCTGACTGCCTTCCAGATCGCCGGGCTTCCTCACGCCTTCCCTGCTTACCAAGGCCATCTCCAGCATACTCAGTGCCTGTCCAGGAGCCCTTGGGGCTGTCTCATCAGGCCTCCAATTAATTGTATTAGAATTATCTGGAGCAAGGTCACAAAAGCAGATTACATTCTTCTGCCTCTTCAAATTCAGTGGTCAGGAGCATGGGGACTTTTTCCCCCACAATTCCACAGGTATTTGTGACACAAAGCCCAGTTTGAGCACCTTGGCCTGACCGACTGCAATAGAAACTCGAGATCTGGCCCACAGACCCATCCAGACTGTTCTTCCTCACCCATGCACTGCATTCTTCCATCACACAGACTACAGGTAGTACACCAGGCTTTCTCACACTCATATGGCAGGCGATCCACTGCCCGGAACCCCGCCATGCTTGATGACCTACTCAGTATTGCTCCTCTGTGACCTTTGCTTCACTAAACTGCTGCGCCGGCACAGCTCTTCTCCCCCAGCTCCGAGGGCCCCTCACATTCCTCCTCTAAGAGTTGAAGTCAGGGACCCCTTTTTTCTGTAAAGGACCAAATAGTATCTGCAGCTTTGCAAGCCCTACTGTCTCTGTCGCCACCACTCCACTCATGGTCAGTGCGGAAAGCAGCCATGGACAATGTGTAACTGATGGGTGTGGCTGTGTTCCACTCAAACTTTATTTACACAGATAGGCAGTGGGCAGACTTGGCCCAAGGGCCATGCTTTGCCAACCCCTGCATCAGAGTACCTGTTACACTTCAAACCTTGACATATGAGAGGTGGGTGTATCAGGAACTTTCACAAATCCTCCCATTTACAAAACCACTGTAGTCTAGCACCCTCGCATTTCCTCACCTGTTCATGGGATAACACCTACACTCCATAGGGCTGCTGCGGAGTAAATTAAATCATGCACCAAACGGGAAGCACGTGTGGAGCTGCGTCTGCGGCCCATCAGCTGTGACTGACTTCCAAATACAAGCTGAGCACTCCCAGTACAGATTTGTGCCCAAGTATAAATCACTGTCCTGATGCCACAGCCCTCTGGAGCACCTTGTACAATGCATGCAGAGCACAGGTCCCCAAACAACTACAACACAGAGCAGTGGTAGAGATGGCAATGGCTTTGGGAGGTCAGCAAGGTGGATCATTTCAGCAGGGGTGAACAGGGAAGAGTTCATGGAGGAGGCAGAATTTTAAGAGGCAACTTGGTATACATGGCATATAGGACGTAGGCTTTTCTGTCAAGACTGACTTGACTTAAAAAAATCCCAAAGCTCATCCTTGTCACTTTTGAGTGAGCTAAGAACTGTTCTGAGCCTTCCTCCTTCCTCATCTACACAGTGGGTTAATGTATCACCTCACCGAGTGAGGAATGTAGATTCAGTGAGATTTTACAGCAAAGTGCTTGGCCCCAGGAAGCACTTAATCAACAATGGTTTCTTCTCCCTCTGAAGGACGAATGGGATTCAGACAAGCAATGGAGGGATGCCAGTTCACTGTGAGGAATGAGAAGAAGTGGAAGTAGAGTGGCAGAAACAAACACAGTGTGTTCCAGAGAGAGCAAGCAGACCAGTTTGCCTGGAAGGAGGATCCACACAGGGCACAAAGGACAGCAAAACTCAAACGCCAGGCTGGGAGTCACGATGGGGAGCAACACGATCCTAACCACCGCCCCAGAGCACCTAGCTCAATGTGGGAGATTAGCAAATATGTACTGAATTTGCCCAGTCTCAAATGCTCACAAAAGGTACAAAGCTAGAAATATTCATCAGTCACTTTTAGGGATCAAGGCGTAACGACCCAATTCAAATAAACTTCTTTTAACAAACAAGACTAATAATTATAGTCAAGACACTCAGATGTTTGCTAAAAATGAAAGCATCGATGAGTAGGAGGCTCTGAAACCTGTCCATCCTCACTCCTGCCCTAGTGCAATGCTTGGAAGCCTCATGTGGGGCTTTAGAACTGAAGGGATGTGGCTACGGCGTCACGCCCCGCTCCCAAGTCGCATTCTAGCAGTCTGAGCAAGCCTTGGTGGTAACTTAGCTGAGTTACTTCATTCACAGAAGTAATACCAGGCCCAACCAGGACCACCAAGCCTGAAAACTGCTACAAATAAGTTCTTCATACTTGGAATTCTTCTCCCTGGGGCGGGGTTGGTTGAGAGCCGTGGGCTTGGGTGGTGATGCAGGAACAGCCTCCTGGGAGGAGGTGAGGCCTGTGCTCGGCTCAGTACTCTGGCTGTCCTCTTCCAAAATCAATCTGCTTATCGTCATGCGCTTGCTCTTGGGCTGCAGTTCTGAGCTGCCCTCGCCCTCAGCAGGGGCTGAACTTTCATTTTCATCTTTTCTTGGTCTCTTGTTTTTGAGGGCTGGTGATGGTGGGGTCACTTGATTTGGAAGTACCAAATCTTTCTGGTCCAATTTTGAGAAGGCGGCATCAGAATCCTGTGCACCAGACAGAGCCTTGAAAGCTGCCTTCAGAGTTGTGATTCCAATGGTGGTTGGTGTGTTCTGTAGCTGCCTGCAAATAAAGGAAATATGTAAGGGTCAGTTTCACCATTGCTGATGTTCAGCCAAAGAGCCACAGCTTCTCTGCAGGGTCAACTTCAATGAACAAGAGGAATCCTTCAGTTGAGCACACCCCATTTTAAAGAGAGAGAAGTAGCCGGCGCCGTGGCTCAATAGGCTAATCCTCCACCTTGCGGCGCCGGCACACCGGGTTCTAGTCCCGGTCGGGGCGCCGGATTCTGTCCCGGTTGCCCCTCTTCCAGGCCAGCTCTCTGCTATGGCCAGGGAGTGCAGTGGAGGATGGCCCAGGTGCTTGGGCCCTGCACCCCATGGGAGACCAGGAAAAGCACCTGGATCCTGGCTCCTGCCATCAGATCAGCGCGGTGCGCCGGCTGCAGCGGCGGCCATTGGAGGGTGAACCAACGGCAAAGGAAGACCTTTCTCTCTCTGTCTCTCTCACTGTCCACTCTGCCTGTCAAGAAGATCAAAAAAAAAAAAAAAAAAGAGAGAAGTGAGAGACACTGGTGGGGGGGGTGGCTTCACACTGCCTTTATTCATAATAGCTCTTATTTATAATGAGTGCAAATAAACACTTTAAATACAATAGATAAGTTGGATTATGGAGTTTAAAATCCAAGTAAGAAAATCTTAAAGGAACTCCGTAAAGGCTCCCTCCAGAAGCCGTTGTGCTATCCAGAACTTGAAGTGTGTATGGACTAAAGCACTTTCTGTCTTCCCATCATGTGAGAACTCTGGATGGCGCCCACCTGGGCCATCAAGTGATCAACCAGCAATCTCACCTGCAGGTCTAGCCTTTTCTAGCCATTCCACTCCAACTCTCATGTGAGAAGACAAAGACTGGTCTCCACTCTGCTCCTTTCTCCTCCACAATGAGAAACCACCTTTTCTTTTATTTATTTATTTTTAAATTTATATGATCTTTGATTTTTTTTAAAAAATTTTTTGACAGGCAGAGTGGACAGTGAAGAGACAGAGAGAAAGGTCTTCCTTTTGTCATTGGTTCACCCTCCAATGGCCGCCGCGGCCGGTGCACTGCGGCCGGCGCACCGCACTGATCCGATGGCAGGAGCCAGGTACTCATCCTGGTCTCCCATGGGGTGCAGGGCCCAAGCACTTGGGCCATCCTCCACGGCACTCCCTGGCCACAGCAGAGAGCTGGCCTGGAAGAGGGGCAACCGGGACAGAATCTGGTGCCCCGACCGGGACTAGAACCCGGTGTGCCGGCGCCGCAAGGCGGAGGATTAGCCTAGTGAGCCGCGGCGCAGGCCTGAATCTTTTTTTTTAAAAAAGATTTATTTTATTTACTTGAAAGAGTTACAGAGAGAGGTAGAGAGAGAAAGAAAGAGAGCGCACGGTCAGTCTTCATCTGCTGGATCACTCCCCAAATCAGCCAGAGCTGGGCCAATCTAAAGCCAGGAGCCTGGAGCTTTTTCTGGGTCTCCCAAGTGGGTGCAGGGGCCCAAGCATTTGGGCCATCTTCTGCTGCTTTCTCAGGAACATTAGCAGGGAGCTAGATCAAAAGTAGCTGGGACTTGAACCAGTGCCCATATGGGATGCCGGCACTGCACACTGGGGCTTTAACCCGCTGTGGCACAATGCTGGCCCCAAGAAACTGCCTTTTCAAAATAAAGTTCACCTATCATTTGGAACAGCTAGCATGCTTAATGTCAAAACTATCAGGAGAGGAGCATACAAGCCAAATCCAGCTGATAGAGGTGCCTTGTTGCCTAACCACATGTGTTGTTTTTTTTTTTTTCCTAATGAATTGCCACCATTCAAAATTGAGAAGTCTCATATCATAAACCTGGACATCTCACACAAAACTTGAACAATGGAAGTCTGGACATGCTTGGTCATTTCCTCAGAGTATCACTCATAAGAAGCTGAAAAGCCTGCATCTCTGGTCACCAGTCCCATGTTCTCAGCTGTTTCATCCCACACCTGCTTTGCTCCTTACACTTCTTACCAGGCCCACAGAGGCATCTAGACTTGTAACGCCCCACTTTAGCTACTGGTCTTGGAATCTTGATCACACATCTGAACACTGCTTCCTGGATGCATTAAAAGATTATGTATCCACATGGAAGTACCAAGTAGATATGGGCAAGCAAGGAGAGCAAAATGGAGGTAGAATCTTCTATGAAGGATAAGCCAATAAAGAGCTTATGATAGGAACCCAAGATATCCCATCTGCAATATTCTCATTTTCCTAGGGTGTGCCCACCATTTCCCACAGTGCTTTGCACAAGAAACTCAGTAACATGTTAGTATCAAATCAACAAGAGTAGGGACAGGCAGTATATTGCAGCAGGTAAAGCCACCACTTTGGACACCTGCATCCCATATTGGAGTGCCTGGGATCAAATCCCACCTCTACTTCTAATCCAGCTTCCTGCTACTGCGCCTGGGTGGTAGCAGATGATGGTCCAATTGGTTGGGTCCTTGTCACCCATATGAGACCTGGATGGAGTCCTGGGCCCCCCCGGCTTCAGCCTGGCCCTGGCCAGGCAATTGTGGGCATTTGGACAGTAAACCAGTGCAGAGAAGTTCTTGGTCTCCCTCAATATCTCTCTTTGTTACTGTGCATTTTAAATACATTGCAAAATAAGATTTTTTTTTTTTCCCAAAAAAATCACCCAGAGGAATAGATCCTGCTCAGTGTTTTACCTAAGAACACAGGAGGACATTCGCCCTCACCTTGCTGGTTCTCTTGGGGGCTTTGCCACAGGCTCTGGTGCTGGCTGTTTGTCTTCCTTCACTGTACTCGAGGCAGCAGACTGAGATTTCAAAGCCTTTTTGGCCATCTGGGAAACACATGATGTCATTAGGAAGAGAAGACACAGGACTTTGTTAATTCTCTGTAATCACTATGACTCAATATGCAAACAAGTTCACTTACAAATCCAATCTAGGCATATACTGGACAAGAACATGAAATGGGAGAGACCTTGTAAGAATCATCTGTAACTTGTTTTTTTCCTCAGAAAACACAGAGCACCTCCAAAAATGGCTCACAACTTGAGTGGTACTAACTATTTTGACATTGGAAGAACTCTCTCATCTTTTAATACCAATTAATGACATGACTGTACTCCACACCTCTCCACCCTTCCAGTCTCAGCCCTAATAATCAGTTTTTGACTCTCAAGTACACCTATGGGGTCATGTACAAAAGTCCAATTTTTTTTTAATTTAAGATAATTAATAAATATTTATACTAATGTCTTTTAGTTGGCATTTGGAATTTTTTTACAACTGTATTTTGACAAGTATGTTTTACTTCATTAGTAACTGTTTAAAAATCCTGACACAGAAAGCCCTGAGTGGACTAGTAGTTCAACTCCAGCTGTTCATCTGTCTCCCCCTGATTTAAATTTTACACATTTCCCAGTCAGTCCAGTGTTACTCAGTTTCAGGAACTTTTCTCTGTAACATGTGAGTTATTTTTTTTTCTTTCCTAAAGATTTATTTACTTATCTGAAAGCCGCAGCTACAAAGAGAGGAAAGAGAGAGAGAGAGAGATCTTCCATTCACTGGTTTGCCTCCCAAATGGTCACAGTGGCCGAGGCTGGGCCAGGCTGAAGCCAGGAGGCAGGAACTCTATTCCAGTCTGCCATGTGGGTGGCAGGGCCCAAGCATCTGGCATCTTCCAATGCTTTCCCAGGCCACAAGCAGGGACTTGAATCAGAAATAGAGCAGCTGGCATGGGGGGGGGGCACACGCTATGGCATAGCAGGTAATCTACCACCTTCAGTGCTAGCATCTCACATCCTGGTTCCTCCACTTCTTTATTTTATTTTTTTGAGAGGCAGAGTCACAGAGAGAGAGGGAGAGACAGAGAAAGAAGTCTTTTTTCCGCTGGTTCACTCCCCAAATGGCCACAATGGCAGAGCTGGGCTGATCTGAAGCCAGGAGCCAGAAGCTTCTTCTGGGTCTCCCAAATGGGTACAGGGGCCCAAGCATTTGGACCATCTTCTGCTGCTTTCCCAGGCCATAAGCAGAGAGCTGGATCGAAAGTGGAGTACCTGGGACTCAAAGTGGCACCCATAGGGATGCCAGCACCGTAGAGGCTTAACCTATTATGCCACAGCACGGGTCCCCTGCTCCACTTCTGATCCTGTTTCCTGTTGATGGCCTGGGAAAGCTGTAGACGATGGCCCAGGTTCTTGGGCCCCTGCACCCATGTGGGAGACCTGGAGGAAGTTCCTGACTCCTGGGTTTGGCCTGACCCAGCCCCAGCTGTTGTGGCCATCTGGAGAATAAACCACCAGATGGAAGATCTCTCGTTCTCGCTCTCTGTCTCTGTCTCTCCCCCGCCACTCTGTCCCTGTAACTCTACCTTTCAAATAAATTTCAAAATATAAATATTGGGAAAAAAAAAAGTGGCAGAAGAACCAGGATTCAAAGTGGCACCAATATGGCTGCCAGTTTAACCTGCTACACAACACTGGCCCAGGTGTGCTGCTTTAAAAGCCCAGAGTTCTAGCCTCACAGACAGTGGCAGGATCTTTCCCAGTTACCTGAAATGTCAATAAAAGGATCCCAGGTCAGAATCAAGTGTCCTGACTCTTGTTCTCTGAACGTCCTAAATTACCTGTGTTAAAAGTAATTTGAGGGGCTGGCGCTGTAGTGTAGCGGGTAAAGCCGCTGTCTGCAGTGCCAGCATCTCATATGGGCACCAGTTCGAGTCCCAGCTGCTCCACTTCCGATCCAGCTCTCTGCCATGGCCTGGGATAGTAGTAGAAGATGGCTCAAGTTCTTGGGGTCCTGTACCCACGGGGGAGACCCAGAAGAAGCTCCTGGCTTCAGAATGGCACAGCTCTAGCCGTTGTGGCTATCTTGGGAGTGAACCAGTGGATGGAAGATCTCCCTCTCTCTTTGCCTCTGCTTCTCTGTAACTCTGCCTTTCAAATAAATAGATAAATCATTTTTTTTTTAAGTAACTTGAAATTTGCCAAACCACTGTTAGGATCAATGATTAATACTATCTGAATATGGGCCTGGCAGGTCTACTGTTAGGAAATTTCAACATTCTCAAAACTTGTATGTTAGGCCGGTGCCGCGGCTCACTAGGCTAATCCTCCGCCTTGCGGCGCCGGCACACCGGGTTCTAGTCCCGATTGCCCCTCTTCCAGGCCAGCTCTCTGCTGTGGCCAGGGAGTGCAGTGGAGGATGGCCCAAGTGCTTGGGCCCTGCACCCCATGGGAGACCAGGATAAGTACCTGGCTCCTGCCATCAGATCAGCGCGGTGCGTCGGTTGCAGCACACCGGCCACGGCGGCCATTGGAGGGTGAACCAATGGCAAAGGAAGACCTTTCTCTCTGTCTCTCTCTCTCACTGTCCACTCTGCCTGTCAAAAAAAAAAAAAAAAAAAAAACCCTTGTATGTTAAAAAACAACTCACTCATGTTCCCTCAGCAGATCCACTACCTAGGACAGCCTGGGTTCTTTCTAGTGCTGTCCTGAACCTCACAGCTTCCATTCTTTATCTCATTGGTCAACTAAAGGTCTTGATTTGGCCTATTTTTATCTGATTCACTCGCCAGGTGACCTCAATGGTTAGGGCTGGGCCAGGCCGTTTATCAGGGTCTCCCACGTGCACACCAAGCTTCTTCTATTAACAACCCAATTCTGCCACATTTACCATACCACTTAGCTCAAATTTCACCTCCCTTGGGAACCACAACTATGTATGAACGTTCCACTCCAACCACAATAAATTAATCACATGTGAAAGAGGTAAAAATGGGAGGTGAGAGAGAGCTCCTATGCTTTTTTATTTTTAAGATATTTAATTACGGAGGACAGTGCATATAATCCAAAGTGTTTTTCACACATTAAGTCTTTGCACTTCCTATTTTCTAAGTGCTTGCACATCCTCAGAGGGCAGTCAGTCATGAGAGGAAACAAGGGTCAAGGCACACCGTGAGGAGGTAGGGCTCTGTGTCGTCCAGGTGGCTCTCCAGGAAGCGCAGCATCTTCTGTTGGAAGGTCTCATAGGAAAAGTTCTGGATTACAGGGTGGGCCACGTTCTTTTCTCGAATAATGTTCAGGAGATCATTTTTCATCTTCTACACAGAAGATCGGCATTTGTACCACATAAAGGAAGAGAAAAATCCAGTAGAAGTTCAGTGATGATGAGTGTGACCGAACACTGCAGCATCTGGCAGTGACATCACTGGGACACGTATATGAAGGGAAGCCCAGCACAACAGATTAGAGTTCAGCCACAGTGGGTTACTCTGCAGCTATAAAAAAGGGGTAAGGGAGTCTTTATGTGCTAAGAGGATGATCTCCAAGATACAGGAGGTTAAAAAGAAAAAGCAATTTAATATATGTTCAGATCAGTGTATAGAATATACTGTCACATATGTGAATTTGAAGAAAAGAGAAAATAGATCTATGTGTACTCGTGTATACACACAAACACACACACTCCTATTTGTTTGCATATGCATAGAATATTACTGGAAAGATAAAAGAAAGAAATGACATTATTGCTTCTGATGGGAACAAAATAGGTAAGGGTCAAAGACGAGAGAATTTTCACTGAAATCTTTGCTTATTCCTTTGAATGTTGTATTATGTAGGCATATTACCTTTCCAAAAAATAAAGTTTAAATTTATATTGAAAAGAAGAATATCGCTTCTCGGCCTTTTGGCTAAGATCAAGTGTGAAAAGAAGAATAAGAACAGGGGACCCACTGGACTTCTGACACCAGGAAACAAGGGTTAAGTCCTCATGAAAGCAGTATCTCAAGTTTGCAGGATCGGTGTGTACATAAACAGGGTAGAAGTATTAACAAAACTTGTTAGGTTCAGACATAGTACGGACAGTTAACACAAATGTTCTATCACAAACTGAACAGAAATAAGGCAAATAAATAAATGGCTGATGTAAATTTGCTTAATGAAAAGTAAATCATAAAAATTCAATCTTACAGTGAGTTATCATGGATATAAAATGCAGCATGCTGTAGGAGTGGCATATTAGATAACCTCCACACAAAGAATCCATTCCCTGATTCTTCAGAAAAAGCAGTGAGATGGATTTCAGTCATGGGAGTAAAAAGATAACAAACTTACCTGAGTTGTGGGGTCCTTAGACATATGTTTTTTCAAAATTTTTGAAGCCTTTTCAAATTCTTTGTTCTTGATACAAATAATGACAGCCTACAAAAGGAGGAAAAACCTTTTTTTTTTTACTTTTGTAATAACAGGTATAATCAAAATATCAAACATCACAATACTCTATTAAAAAGCCAAGCTGAGTCTCAGGGACCCAAGAACTTTTTCACAGTATGTCGAATTCCTGTACTTAAAACGTAACAATTACTGTTTAAGCATCATGAACAAGTGTTAGCTGTTTCAGTCTGTAAGGTGGTCACTGTTCTGTGTTAACAGTGCATTTTTTTTAAAATGGCTGATATAGCAAAGTCTGATCCCCTGGATTATAGACCATTTAATCAATTTGAATGGGGCCTAAGGCAAGACATAATGGACAGGAGTCATTTTAGGGCCCTGTAATCTCAGGTCCCCAGAACAACTGGTTCCGCTGTAGAGCTTTCAAGTAAGGGGTGAGGGGTGGGGGAAGGAGGATACGCTGTGAGCAGGAAAAACAAACAAGTGATCTGCTGACCACAGGATCTGCTAGTTCCATTCAGGAAAGGCCTGGGGTCAATTCTATGGGAAAATGAAAAGACAAGCCTCTATACCATAAACCCTAGCTGGCAACTTTAGTTAAAATGTGCTGGGAGGCCGGCGCCGTGGCTCAATAGGCTAATCCTCCACCTTGCGGCGCCGGCACACCGGGTTCTAGTCCCGGTCGGGGCGCCGGATTCTGTCCCGGTTGCCCCTCTTCCAGGCCAGCTCTCTGCTATGGCCAGGGAGTGCAGTGGAGGATGGCCCAGGTGCTTGGGCCCTGCACCCCATGGGAGACCAGGAAAAGCACCTGGATCCTGGCTCCTGCCAGGATCAGCGCGGTGCGCCGGCTGCAGCGGCGGCCATTGGAGGGTGAACCAGCGGCAAAAAGGAAGACCTTTCTCTCTCTGTCTCTCTCTCTCACTGTCCACTCTGCTGTCAAAAAAAAAAACCAAAAAATAAAAGGAAAAGAACTAATGTGCTGGGAGACCAAAAAAGCCAGCTCACCCACAAGCAGCAAATGAAAGGACAAGTTCTAGGTAAGATGAGAATGTCTCACTAGTCACAGAGAAAAAGAAAAGTCCTTCTGTAAAGAAACATCAGAGACAATATATAGAGAGGAAAAAATCCAGTGATCAGAAATTAAAAAGAGGCTGGCGGCGCGGCTCACTTAGGCTAATCCTCCACCTGCGGCGCCGGCATCCCAGGTTCTAGGCCCGGTTGGGGCGCCAGTTCTGTCCTGGTTGCTCCTCTTCCAGTCCAGCTCTCTGCTGTGGCCCCGGAGGGCAGCGGAGGACGGTCCAAATGCTTGGGTCCCTGCACCTGCATGGGAGACTGGGAGGAAGCACCTGGCTCCTGGCTTCAGATCGGCGCAGCGCCGGCCATAGAGGCCATTAGGGGAGTGAACCAACGGAAGGAAGACCTTTCTTTCTGTCTCTCTCTCACTGTCTATAACTCTACCTGTCAAATAAAAATTAAAAAAAGAAAAAGAAATTAAAAAGAAAATTGTACCATATGTTGACATTTACAAGAATCAGAAAAGCCAACATAACACTGGCAGCATCTGGAGTTATATAAGATAATGTAGATACCTTAAAGCTAGTCTCAAGGAGAAGCATTAAAGAAACAGATTTTTTTTTTTTTTTGGACAGGCAGAGTTAGACAGTGAGAGAGAGAGAGAGAGAGAGAGAGAGAAAGGTCTTCCTTTTGCCGTTGGTTCACCTCCCAAGTGGTTGCTATGGCCGGCGCGCTGCACTGATCCGAAGCCAGGAGCCAGGCGCCTCTCCTGGTCTCCCATGCAGGTGCAGGGCCCAAGGACTTGGGCCATCCTCCGCTGCCCTCCCGGGCCACAGCAGAGAGCTGGACTGTTAGAGGAGCAACCGGGACAGAACTGGCGCCCCAATCGGGATTAGAACCCGGGGTGTCGGCGCCACAGGTGGAGGGTTAGCCTAGTGAGCCTCGGCGCTGGCCAAGAAACAGATTTTTTAAAAGATCTCTTTCAAAAAGGAAAGCTGGAGCAGATGCTGTGGGGCGGAGAGTAAGCCACCACTTGGGACACCCAGCTATTCTGCACTCCTGATCTGGCTTCCTGCTAATGCACCTGGGAGGTCCCTGCCACCCACATGGGAGATCCAGAGGAATTCCTGTATTCCAGTCTGGTGCTGCAGGGATTTGGGGAGTGAACAGTGGATGATCTCTCTTTCAAATAAATACATAAATAAAACACAGAGCAGCAAAGGAAAGCAAACTCGTCTGTTGTCTTCATGGGGAAGAACATACAGAGATCTAGACCAAGAAAAGGAAGAACAGCGTCACATACTCTTGAATACACAGGTTTACTCCTAAGTTCTTGTAGTGAGGAAGCAAAGAAAGTCTTTTCATTTTAATCACGACCATTGCCACTTACACATCCTTTTCAGCAGAAAAACCACAGTTAAGACTATACTTTCTTGAAGAACACACTTTTTACTTCTTAAATCATAGGTTAATTTTACTTAACATTCAGCAAAATTACATTTTTGGGGTGTACAGTTCTGATTTTTAATACAAGTAGACTCCTCTGAGCTGTTCCTTTGTGGTCATATCCTTCCCCATCCCTAATCCTTGCTCTGTCTTCTGTCTTCAGGAACATCACATAAGTGGAACCACAGAGTCTGAAACACTGATTTTTTTTTGGTAAAGATTTATTTTTTATTTATTTGAAAGGTACAGTTATAGAAAAGGGGTGGGGGGAGAGCTTCCATCTGCTGGTTCACTCCCCAAATGATTAGGGCTAAGCCAGGTTGAAGCCAGGAGGCTGGAGCTTCTTCCAGGTCTCTCACGTGGACGTAAGGGCCCAAGCACTTGGGGCATCTCCTCCTGCTTTCCCAGGGACACTAGCAGGGAGCTGGATCAGAAGTGGAGCGGCCAGGTCTCCAACTGTTGCCCGTATGGGATGCCAGTGGCACAGGCAGAGGCTTAACCTGCTGTGAAACAATACCAGCCCCAAGGAGCCCTGATTTTTCAAAGAGGTACCCTTGAGGGTGTCCACCTTCACTCTAACGCTGCTGAGGCCCATCCATGTTGCCGCAGGATTCAGAGTTGGTTTCTTCTTCCTGCCGAGCTGTGAAGTTTCTCGTATAGATGTACTAGCTTACTTATACATTCATCCCCTGAAGGCCACTCGGGTTGTTTGTAACCCCGGGTTATTATGAATAGAGATGCAAAACGTTCATGTACAGGTTTTGGTGTGAACCTAATTCTTCACTTCTATAAGGTAAACAGCCAGGAATGGGATTGCTGGGTCACGTAGAATGTGTCCGTTTAGCTTTGTAAGAAACAACCAAACTGTCTTCTAGAGTAGCTGGACTATTTTTTAAAAGATTTATTTTATTTATTTGAAAGGCCAAGTTACAGAGAAAGAGAGAGATTTTCCATCTGCTGGTTCATGCCCCAAATGGCTGCAACAGGAAGGGCTGGGCCAGGCCAAAGCCAGGAGCCAGGAGCTTCTTCTGGGTCTCCCATGTGGGTGTAGGGGCCCAAGCACCTGGGCTGTCTTCCAGTGCTCTTTCAGGCACATTAGCAGGGAGCTGGATCAGAAGTAGAGCAGTGGGCCGGCGCTGTGGCACATCAGGTAAGGCCGCTGCCTGCAGTGCTGGTATCCCATATGGGCACCAGTTCGAGTCCCAGCTGCTCCACTTCTGATCCAGCTCTCTGCTGTGGCCTGGGAAAGCAGTGGAAGATGGTCCAAGTCCTTGGGCCCCTGCACCCACGTGAGAGACCTGGAAGAAGCTCCTGGCTTTGGATCAGTGTAGTTCAAGCAGTTGCAGCCAATTGGGGAGTGTATCAATGGATGGAAGATCTCTCTGCCTCTCCTTCTCTCTCTGTAACGTTTTCAAATAAATAAATAAATTTTTTTTAAAAAAAGAAAGAAGTAGAGCAGCCAGGACTTGAACCGACACCCATACGGGATGCCAGTGCTGCAGGTGGCAGCTTAACCCACTATGCCACTGCACCAGCCCCAGTTGTAACACTGTATCCCCATCAGTAATGTATGAAATTTCCAAATACTCTATATCCTGGCTAGTACTCTAAAAAAAATTGTGTAAATATATGGTTTACATAATGGTCTGAAATATATAATTCAAACTTAACTTTATTAGTATTTTTAAAACAAATATAGCCATTCTAATTCCTATGTACTATTATTCACTGTGATTTTGTATTTCTTTAAAGGCCAAATGATGTTGCAGGTTTTTCTTTTCTTTTCTTTCTTTTTTTTTTTTTTTTGATAGGCAGAGTGGACAGTGAGAGAGAGAGACAGAGAGAAAGGTCTTCCTTTGCCGTTGGTTCACCCTCCAATGGCCGCCGCGGCCGGCGCACCGCGCTGATCCAATGGCAGGAGCCAGGAGCCAGGTGCTTTTCCTGGTCTCCCATGGGGTGCAGGGCCCAAGCACCTGGGCCATCCTCCACTGCACTCCCTGGCCACAGCAGAGGGCTGGCCTGGAAGAGGGGCAACCGGGACAGAATCCGGTGCCCCGACCGGGACTAGAACCCGGTGTGCCGGCGCCGCTAGGCGGAGGATTAGCCTAGTGAGCCGCGGCGCCGGCTCTTTTCTTTTTTAATTTATTTGATAGGTAGAGTTATAGACAGTGAGACAAAGAGAAACGTCTTTCTTCCGTTGGTTCACTCCCCAAATGGCTGTTACGGCTGACACTGCGCCAATCTGAAGCCAGGAGCCAGGTGCTTCTTCCCGGTCTCCCATGCGGGTGCAGAGCCCAAGCACTTGGGCAATCCTCCACTGCACTCCCAGGCCACAGCAGAGAGCTGGACTGGAAGAGCAGCAACCGGGACTAGAACTGGCGCCCATATGGGATGCCAGTGCTGCAGGCGGAGGATTAGCCAAGTGAGCCACAGCGCCAGCCCCGCAGGTTTTTTCATGTCCTTTTTTTTGGCTACTTTGTTCTTTTTGGTGAGTCTTGCCCATTTTAAAAGTAGGGTTGTATATACAGGCTTGGTTATTTTGAGAGTTCTTTAAAATTTTCTCTTCAAGA